AGAAGAGGGATGAAGGGAAGGAGCCCTGCAGGCTGCTCGGAGAGCTGGGTCAGCGCTCAGAGAGCGGCTCTGGCGTTTTCTGCGTGGCTCCCGTCTGCTGACATTGCAGCGACCCTTTCTCCGAACGGCTGCCTTGTGCCGGGAGTGCGGTCGCCGCGGGGTGGGGCGGCCACGCCTCCTCCTCCTGCGTGTCCTCCGCTCACGTGGACGCTCCCAGCAGGCTCCGTCCTGTTCCCACAGGCCCCGGGCTGCTGCCTCAGCGCCCTCTACGGACCCGCTTCCTTCCCCGACCCTTCGACATCTCCTCGTCGCTCCCTCACGGCCACGTGATGGTCACAGAAGGGAGTCTGAAGGGCACGTTGAGCAGTGCCCCCCGCCCGCCCACAGCTTCTGCGGGCGCGTCTGCCTGTTACGGGCAGGTGAGCGGGTGCTGACTTGCCTGGCGTGTGACGAACCTTGAGGCTCTGGCCGCTTGCAGGTCCGGTGAGATCAAGTGTCCAGCGTCACAGCTTCCGGAGCCCCTGTCCCGTACCCGCTGCCGGGGCCCCCAGGGGAGCAGGTCTGGCAGGTCCCTGTCGGGGCTGCGGCTCTCGGGCGCACGGAAGAGCCGCGAGTTAGCGGGTGTACGCCCTCCCCGTCCACTGGGGAGACTCGGCCCACAGGCTCGTGCACACCAAGAACCGCGTGCTGCGGACACGAGGCGTTTAGGATGCATCCCTCCCATCGCGCCCCCGGTGGGTTTTGCGCTTCCTGCAAGCTTTCCGTTTGTAGACTCTGGGGGAGCCTGGAAAGGGGACGGGGTTCAGGCCCACAGGACCGCGTGTGTGGCGGGCGTGCGCTGTGTCCCCGACCGTGGCCCTGCCCAAGTGTTCCCAGAGTGACACGTGGTGACCGCATGCACATGTGGCTGCACGCGGCCCGCGCAAACATGCGTATCCATCATCACTGGTGACGTGTGACCCACCCGCCCCGGGGGCCACCCTTCGCGTGGACACTCGTCGGTGTCCTCTGGAAGCTGTTCCCCGTGCCACCCCCCCCCCCCACCTGCCCCATCAGAACATGTTTTCCTCATCCCGGAAGAAACCGCCAGCAGACGCTCACCCAGCCCCCGCAAGCCCTGTCTGTGTTTGCATGTTCCGGACATTTTGCGTGGATGGAACCGTACGGCACGTGGCCTTTTCTCTCCACTTCTTCCCCTTACATGCACGTTCGGGGTTCGCCCAGGCTGTAGCGCGTGCTCTTTTCATGGCTGCGTAGTGACTCCGTCGTGTGGGCCGAGCGGCCTTGTCTGTCCCTCAGCTGATTGACATTCGGGTTGTTTCCACCTTTCGGCTGTCATGCAGGCTGCCACTGTGGACACGCGTGTACGCGAGCTCATTAGTGACACACTCTGCCCAAGTAACCCCGGCCGTCTGCCTGCGTCTTTCCAGATTGGATGTGAACATACTGCATGTGTTAGCAAAACGGTCCAGTTTGTCTGCGGTGTTTTCTGTGCCGTGGAACGAAAGTGGAACTTCTCTTCCCAGCTCCCTGGGACGGGAGCGCTGAGCCCTCACCTCCGAGGACGGCATCGTCAGTGCCAGATCTGCTGGCGGGTTCGCGGGGTCAGAGCACTGAGCCCCATGGCACACGTGGGGTCTGCTCTCCGGTCTCGCTCGCTGCTGAAGGGGCTTCCTTACTCGTGGCTCCTCCTGGAGCCTCGTTTCTGGAAAAGGGTGTCCCCCTGGAGCAGCATGCACCCCACAGCCTGACTGAGGCCGCGCTTTCCCCCGTCAGCCGTCAGTTTTTGGCATTTGTCCCCTTGTTTCTGTAGATGACAGTTTCGTTCATGTGGAAATAAGAGACTCCTCTGTCCTCTGACCCGCCAGGCGGCAGCCTCCCTGCTGCTGGTGAGCCAGGGGCGCTCCAGACACAGTGCAGCGAGGTGGGGGGGGTGCACCTGGGAGGCACCAGGGCACCCTGTGGTCAGGTGCTCACCTTAGAGAGGACTTGGTGCCGCCTTTGGGGACATGCAGGCGCCCCCTGTGCAGCCCGGGAGCTGACAAAGAGCGGTTAGTGTTGCAGCCTGCGTTGCGGATGAGGGTCCCTGGCCATCTCCAGGGCTCCAAGGTTCCGGTCACGGAGGGCGTCCCATCCGGGAGGAATCCCTAGGAAGAGAGGCCGGCTTGTCTTCCTGCCCTCGGGAGCTTTGGTGACGACCCACATCCTCATTCCCACGGCTCCCGGTGACATGTGTGCCTTTTTGTGTGCAGCAGAGTTGCACAATGGACCAGGTGACGCATATTTGGTTCAAAACGGGCGAGGGACGCCTGGGGGGCTGTCAGTTAGGCCAGCGACTTCAGCTCGGGTCATGATCTCGCGTTTCCTGAGTTCAAGCCCTTTGGACCATGTGCCTCTTTCTCTCTCCGCCCCTCCCCCTCAAAAATAAACATACATCTAAAAATAGAAATTGTATGACTGGGGCTAATAGGTTTGTGTGCAGAGCAAGCAGAGTATTGTGGCAGAAGTGAACCCAGAAATGTTGAGCCGCATGTCCATGGTCACGGAGCCGGCCAGCTGCAGGACACGTGCGTGATGTGGGCGTGACCGTGAACCAGGCTTTGTCCAGGGGCGTCTGGTCGCCTGTGCTGTGCATACAATTTTGCACACCCGGTCTTAACTTTCTTAGACTCAGACATTTGTGCAGAGAGCAGCATGCGGAACTCCCCTTGCTCTGGATCTGAACCCGAAGACGCTTCCTGCCCGTCAGGCCACGCGGCAGACCCCCGTGCGTGCCGTTCCCCGGGGTCCCTTCTTGGACTGTCACACTGACCACGCGGTGAGCAGAGTCAGCTGGAAGCGAACGTTAGCAGTGGCCTTTCCGCCCGCCGGGGGTAGCCTGTTCATGGGCGCCGCGGGTCTGCCGGAAGCTCGCAGGTCGTTGCTCCGTTCCACTCCTTGGGGAACGGTGTGCAGGTGGCTTCTGCACGCAGAGCTAGTTCTCACCCAGGAGGAACGTGGCTCATTCCAGGCAGGGTTTGTTGCAGTGACTTAGGCAGCCCGGTGCTTGGTGGCGTCCAGTGACTTGCCTGGCATGGTCTGGTCCCGCAGGCGGGCATAGTGTCCTGATGCGCGGTAGGCGGAGTCGCGGGCTGGGCGCAGCCGGGAGGCCCCTCTGAGCACAGCGGACACGTCCCCGTGCCAGGAGGATCGGGCCCTCCAGAGCCGGTGTTGGGACTGAAGGCCAGCGGCTGCTCTGAAGCGTAGGAGCAGGGCTCTCGGGATTTACATCCTTGGGTCCCAGGTTATGTGCTAATGCTTTTCTTTCCTTCCCGGTTCCTGTGTCATATATTCCTTTCTTTTTTTTTTTTAAATGTTTTATTTATTTCTAGGAGAGAGAGACAGCGTGAGCAGGGGAGGGTCAGAGAGAGAGGGAGTCACAGACTGAAACAGGCTCCAGGCTCCGAGCTGGCAGTCAGCACAGAGCCCGACGCGGGGCTTGAACCCACGAACCGCGAGATCATGACCTAAGCGAAAGTCAGAAAGTCGGACGCTTAACCGACTAAGCCACCCAGGCGCCCCTCATATATTCCTTTTCAACATAAGTTTGGGAATCTGTGGGAATAAGAAGCGTCCATGGCCGTGTCTTGAGCCACAAAGAGATGTCTGGGACTTACTTGTTTATAAAGCTCTTTGGCCGGCGCGTCAGCCAGCGCCCCTTACTGGTGGCCTCACCCGGCAGGGAAGCAGCAGGGAAGGGCGTGGGCGCTGGGGACGCGCCTGGGTCCTCGCATCGCGGGCTGCCGGGTACCGTGTCTCGAGTCCCTGCCAGGCGGGGGGCCCAGCCCGTTCTCTCCAGCGATCTTGCGCCATCTCCCACGTCCCTGCTGTGTGTCCCTGGAAGCACGGGTGGGGTCTGGGGGCCATGTCGGTCTCTGCCCCCAGTCTGCACAGACAGCCCGCACAGCCCGGCCCTAGAGCGGGCACAGAGGGAAGGTGCACGCGTGCGGCTGCCGTGGGGCCGGGGGCGCACCTGTGGGCTCTGGTGCCGCCAAGCTGGGCGGTGGGCATGTGCCACGCTGCACGGGCAAAGAACAAAACAAGGCGCCATGAGGCTGCCTCGCCTCAGGCCACGGGGACGCCGCTGGCCTACGTGACCCCGTCCACGCGGCTCCGGGAGTGAGGTGGGCGCGGTGCCGGGCGGGGGGGGGGGGGCACTCCGGCTCCCGCGTGGCTGTGCAGTTTGCCTCCCGCCTCTGGTCCCCGCTGCCTCTGTCCTGTCACACTGACCTTCCCTGCAGTGCTGGTGTTCGCACCTCCCCTCCCCCATGGCTCACTGTACCCCAGCAGGCCGCCTGGGGGCGAGGCTGGGGCCCGGGGCTGCGCCGCGGGGCTGGGGGCCAGGACCCGATGCTGCGCCGCGGGGCTGGGGGCCGGGACCCGATGCTGCGCCGCGGGGCTGGGGGCCGGGACCGGGGCTGCATTTTATTCCCTCATCTGTGGCTGCAGCGTCTCAGGCCCCTGCGTGCTGAAGGCACAGGGTCTCGTTCAGTGTTTTAAAGATTCTCCTGGACCGAAGACGCTTCCTGGGTGCCCGGCACGCACGATACTAAATAATACAGAGTGAGACGCCAGCCTCCTCTCTTCCCAGAAGGGCCCTTGAGCAGGGAGACCCAAAACGGCTTAGTAGCTCCATCCGGAACCCAGTTTTACCTTCTCGTTAACGGCCCGCTGCCGCATTTCTAAAGCGGCCGTCCGATCTGTTGGAAGCCTCGGGACCGCGCCGGGCGTTCTGTCCGCATCTGAGCCCAGCGCGTTCGTCCCCCGACCACCAGCTTGCAAGGGTTCCCATCGGCTCCCCCTGCGGGTGCAGACCACCTGCTCAGCACAGTCCCTCGAGGAACTTAGCCCATGGGGGTACTGTGAGGGGGAGCCCTTCCTGTGCGGGAGGACGTGCGTTACAGCCTGCGCTCGGCGTGGGGGGGGGCTCACCTGCGCTGACCGCGCTCTGTTCCCCGCAGTGTGCTGGCGAGGAGAACTGCGTGGACAGCCGGACCATCTACGTGGGGCACAAGGAGCCCCCGCCAGGTGCTGAGGCCTACATCCCGCAGAGGCACCCCGACAACAGAATCGTCTCCTCCAAGGTGAGCTGTGCCCCCACGGCGGGTCCCCACCCTGCTCCTGGTCTGTCCCCGAGGTTCCTGCCCGCCACTGCCAGGCGCCCTGGGGGCATCCACGTACTCGGCCCACGCTCAGCCCCCCGGCTGGCGGCAGACCACATGTCCGTCACCTCCCCTAATCACCCCGTGGACACACCAGGTCTGCTCCTGCCATGTGTGTGCTGGCCGTCCGGCCACGTGCCAGGGTGTCCTCACCTGTGAAGTAGAGATGATGCTGGGGGTCACCAGTGAAGGGAGGGGTGTGGGGCCACCTTGTAAACGGAAACACCGAGCACACGTCTGTCAGTCAGTCAGCTCCAGGCTCACGTCTGTCAGTCAGTCAGTTCCAGGCTCACGTCTGTCAGTCAGTCAGCGCCAAGCACACATCAGTCAGTCAGCTCCAGGCTCATGTCTGTCAGTCAGTCAGCTCCAGGCTCACGTCAGTCAGTCAGCTCCAGGCTCACATCCGTCAGTCAGTCAGCGCCAGGCCTGCACCGGGAGGCCAGTGACTGGAGGGTCAGCACTTGAATGCTGGGACTGGAGGCTGGGGACACAGAGGCGCACTCCACACGCCTGCACAGTGACTGGGCAGTGGCTCCAGGACAGGCACAGAATCTAGCAGCTGACTTTGAACAAAAAAAGCAAATGATGGAGATTTGGAGAACTTTCTCTTCAGATGCACGCACCCATGTCCATGAAGGTGTGTACATGTGCCTGTGTGTCTTGGTGCGCATGTCCATGTGGGTGACACACGTGGTCCCAGGCATGTGTCCTGCTGTGCACGTCTGTGTGGGGGACACACTACATTTTTCTATAAACTATCAGAGCACCTAAGTTTGTTAAGAATACTTGAGAACAGAAAAGTCTTCCTCTTTAAAGCAGTTTTTTTAAAAGGAACTATTTTATTTAAAGCTGTAACAGGACACAATACCTCTAATCACCAGAATTGCTCATCTGGAAAATCCCTAGCGATGTGTGTGGTAGGTTGTTGCCCTGGGGGGTAAGTGACAGGAGGCGTGACCGAGCAGACCTGACTCCAGGCTGGCGTTGGCAAAGGGACCTGTGTGACCCTGGCGGCCTCAGGTGGCACTTTCACCAGAGACCTCCACTCATCTGCCCAAAACGGGAACCTCAAACGGTTCTTAAGAATCAGCCCCCGTGCAGTAGAGGTGCACCGAGTCAGAGAATGCACCAGAAACACGGCCGCGGGTGCCAGGTGAGCGTGTTGGGGCGGGCGCCACGAAACCGCCCACGCTGCCCAGTGTTCAGCCCAGGACGCGTGTTGGACCCTTTGGCCACTGGTGGCTCCCTGCGGTGGCTGATATCCCCCTCCAGGGACAGAGCCTGGCCTGAATGTCCAGCCCCCAGTCCCTTCAGGTGGATGTGGAAAGCCCTGCGCAAGGCTTTGTGGGGGAACCTTCTGGAAGACAAAGCGCCTGGCTGACTGGGGCACTCTGAGGGCCTGCTTGATGCACGTGGTGGAAGGTAGCCGGACGCCGATGGAGGCTTGTTCATGACAGTGTCGTGGGGACGAGAACCAGGCTCAGTGCTTCCTAAATGCCATTCCCGACTCTGTCCTCTGATTCATCTGTCAGAACAACTTATTATTTCCCTTTTGTTCTTTCAAATACTCCCGCGGTGATTGTGAGTCGCCACCTTTGCCCCCCTGCCGTGGCCCCCCGCCGTCCCCTCTGCACTTCCACACTGGGGCCCCCGTGCCACCTCGCTTCCTACGATGGTGACGCGGTGCTGGGGCCCAGTGAGGGCGAGTTTGAGACGGACTTGCGGCGACCCAGGGGCTATCCATGCAGCTGCTTCTCGGGAAAGTTCCTTAAGAGCAGGAGGAACTAAGTCACCATCCCGGCAGCAGGCAGGTCGGGCGGAGGCCACGGGGAGCGTGGGAGCCGGGGTCTCAGAGCTGGCGGGGGGCTGTTCTTGCCACTGCCATTGGTTCCGGGGGGATCGCTGGAGCCACCTCGGGTTCTGTGTCTCCCTCTCTCTCTCTCTCAAAAATGAATATTTTTAAAAACCCAATAAAACACCTCAGTGTGTTGGGAAAAGAACTGAATTTGTAAAACCTGAGTTTCCAACATTTCCAGAGAATGTTTGCTGTACCGTATGTGTGTTTTCTTGGGAAAACGTTTCTCTTAGAAGAAAAGGCTGCTGGGCAAGACTTCTTCCTCGCACGAAGCCTCCACTCAGCTCGATTGCATTTAATCAGAGAGCTTTACCGCGTGAAAAGTTACAGCAGGGGCGACGTTGCCGGGCTCACCGTGCTTCCCGGAGGCGGCGGCACTGGCGTCAATGATTAGAGTTCTGTTTCCTTCCTGGCGGAGACACTGGGATGGCTCTGGGATGAAGGAGAAGCCAGAACAGAGTCCCCCACGTGTCCCTTTTCCTTTGCTCCTGACGACACGCAGAGCCCCGCGCCCGGGACTTGAGCTTGAACGCGAGCCGATCCGGCTTCGGGACGAGGTCGGTGCCACCTCATCGAATCCACAACATCCGTGTGGCCCCCAGTCTGCCCGCAGGACGCTACAAACCTGATATTAGGCTGAGGAAGTGCGGTCACCCCATACCTTCGAGAAAGCTACATCACTTGTGACTTTTGGCCACGGAGGATTGTGTCTGCTGGTCAGAGGGGGGCAGACAGTGCTCCGAGGACTTGTGAGCGCGTCGTACCTGCCACACAGGAGGTCGGCCCATCCGAGGAGCAGCAGCTTCAGAGCCGAGCCCACGACTGAGCCTCAGCAGCGAGCCTGACCCTGACCTTCATGTCCGCAGGCCCAGCACGGTGCCTGCTCGGCGTCCTTCCCCAGAGATCCTGGCCGGGCCTGACTGGTTTCCACGTCCTGGGCTCCCAGCCGTGAGTGAGAGCGAGCCAGCCCCACGCGTGTGGATTTCCCTCCACGGGAGCCTCTCCGGCCTGCGGGGCCATGTCGGGACCATCGGACAGCACCGTGGGGGGGCCGCCTCAGGCACCTGATGGCCAGGACTGCGCGGTGTGGTCCACGTGGTCTTGTCCGGCAGTGGGCAGAGCACAGCGCCAGGCGTGTCTGGAGTTCACTTCCCAGCCGGGCCCCGGGCAGACCGGCGGGCTGCGTGCTCTGTCCCGAGCCACACTCCCAGCGGGCCCAGAACTGCGGCCACCGCCACAGACAGAGCCGTGCGCCTGGGAGGCGTCCTCGGCGTGGGGCCCACACACCTCAGTGCACAGTGTCCACGACGTGACCAAGGCAAGAGCAGGAGTCGTCCTATGTGACTCGGGACCCCTCACAGGGTCTGCAGGGGCGAGGCGAGCTGACACCACGCCCCTGCAGTCCTGGGTCGGGGAGCTGGCGCCTGATGCTGCGGGAGGGTCCGAGTCCCGCACGACATTGTGCCCGAGTCTATCTCCGCCTCCCACAAAGTCCTCAGCTCGTCGGCTCTTACATGTGTTGTCAGAGGCTCGTGTTACAGATTTGGTCTGCATGGTGCTGATCCGTGTGCACGGTCACACGCACTTAAATTATATCACGGGGTTTCCACCCTGTCACACGCCATCAGGAATTAGTGACCCTCCTTTTGACCACATTATCTGTAGTAATGACTTATTACAGTAATTTATCCCTCGCAGTAAGGAGATTACAAAGTGTAACGTCTGAGCGGCTGCGTGGCCTCTCCTGCCTGATTAGAATTCAGCAATCATGTAAGTGGCTTTCATGTCTACATCTGAGCTGCCTAGAACCTGGGGAGCTGGGGAGCTGCAAGGGGCCCAGAAAGGGTAGCGTTAAAATAGGACAAGACCGGGGCGCCTGGAGGGCTCTGTGGGTTACGTGTCCAACTTTAGCTCAGGTCATGATCTCACGGTTCATGGGTTCAAGCCCCGCGTCGGGCTCTGTGCTGACAGCTCAGAGCCTGGAGCTACTTCAGATTCTGTGTCTCTCCCCTGCTCACACTCTGCCTCTCTCTCAAAAATAAACAAACATTAAAAATTAAAAAAAAAAAAAAAAAGGACAAGACTGGGCATACACATAGTGTTCTAGACTTCGTGAAACTTCCCACAGAAGGATGGTAGCAGATGACACTGTTTTCTTTTTTTTTCTTCTTTTTTTTACAAATAGTTTATTGTCACATTGGTTCCCATATAACACCCGGTGCTCATCCCCACAAGTGCCCTCCTCCATGCCCATCCCCCCTCCCCCTCCCCACACATCAGTCCTCAGTTTGTTCTCAGCATTCAAGAGTCTCTCACGGTTTGCCTCTCTCCCTTTCCCCCACCATTTCCCCCTTCTTCTCCCCCACGGTCCTCCGTTAAGTTCCTCCTAATCCTCCGTGCAAACATATGGTATCTGTCCTTCTCTGCCTGACTTATTTCACTCAGCGTAACACCCTCAAGGTCCATCCATGTTGCTACACAGGCCAGATTTCATTGTTTCTCATTGCCATGTAGTATTCCATCGTACAGATAAACCACATCTTCTTGATCCATTCATCCGTGGATGGACACTTAGGCTCTTTCCATGTGTTGGCTGTTGTGGAGAGTGCTGCTGTGAACATTGGGGTACGTGTGCCCCTGTGCATCAGCACTCCTGTGTCCCTTGGGTAAATTCCTAGCAGTGCTATTGCTGGGTCATAGGGGAGTTCTGTTGTTAGTTTCCTGAGGAACCTCCACACTATTTTCCAGAGGGGCTGTACCAGTTTACATTCCCACCAGCAGTGTAGGAGGGTGCGTGCCCGTTTCTCCACATCCTCGCCAGCATCTAGAGTTCTCTGATTTGCTCATTTTAGCCACTCTGACTGGCGTGAGGTGGTATCTCAGTGTGGTTTTGATTTGTATTTCCCTGATGAGGAGGGATGCTGAGCATCGTTTCATGTGTCTGTTGGCCATCTGGATGTCCTCTTTGGAGAAGTGTCTGTTCATGTCTTCTGCCCATTTCTTCACTGGGTTGTTTGTTTTTCAGGTGTGGAGTTTGGTGAGTTCCTTATAGATTATGGATATTAACCCTTTATCTGATATGTCATTTGCAACTATCTTTTCCCATTCCGTTGGTTGTCTGTTAGTTTTATGGATTGTCTCCTTTTCCTTGCAGAAGCTTTTAATCTTGATGAGGTCCCAATAGTTTATTTTTCCTCTTGATTCTTTTGCTTTTGGGGATAGGATGACACTATTTTCTTATATGTAAGATGAAAACTTTCTAACGTGGCAACTTTGAAGAGTATATAACAAGTCAGAGAGGGCTGTGATACTCTCACACGTCCTTCTTGCCAGTGTCCGCGGCTCCCCCGGTGGCTGCGCTGGCCTCGTCTGTGCATCCACGTTCTTCCCCAGGCGTTGTGAGGCGCGTCCTACATGGCATCTGACTCCTGTCTTTCAATTTTTCAATAGGTGGAGGATGGAGTTTCAAGTAGGACCCTTTTCCATGTGACTTTGGTACCAAGTGACATATTTCAAGTATTTGGGGAAGTTTTTGATCAACCAGTGGGCAGTAAATACAGGCCTGGGTGCTGGGAAGTGAGGTTGGCTTCACAGGGCGGGGCCTTGAGGACGGCTGCATTTGGGCTCAGGAAACCCGTGAAGAACAAAGGGTCCTTCTGGGCTGGTCACAGAAGCGCAGAGACGGGATGTAGGCACCAGGCCTGCGTACTGACTTGTTTCCTTTCATCTCCTTTTAAAAGTTCACAGAAGGTAACTGGCTCTTTCATCATGGCCCATGTAAGAGAAAAACAAAATTTAAGAAGGTTGTGTTTGTACTGTTAGGCTGTAAAATTTTAATGCCCCTATTATTTTCTTAGCATTGCTTGGAGGCAGTACTTTGATCCCCGCCCCTTCCTCCAGGACACGCGCTGTGTACTTATTTATACATGACGAAACTGGAACACAGTCCCTCAATAATTCAGATAATTCGCTAAAGTTCACTGGATTTTTAGTTGTCATGGCCGGAGTTTGATACGGCCATGGGTTTTGCAGTAGAATAAAGAGAAAATACTTTCTTAAAAAAAATTTTTTTTTTAATATGTATTTATTTTTGAGAGAGAGAGACAGAGCACGGGGGGGTGGGGGTGGGGAGAGGGAGACACAGAATTGCAAGCAGGCTCCAGGCTCTGAGCTGTCAGCACAGAGCCCGACACGGGGCTCAAACCCACTAATGCAAGATCAAACCAAGAGATCATGACCTGAGCTAAATTGGATGCTTCACCAACTGAGCCACCCAGGCGCCCTAGAGGAAATACTTTCTGAATTCCATAGGGTAGCCAGAGCATGCTGGGGTAGGGCAGCAAATTAAGGATTCAGATCATGGTTTCTTTTGTTGTTGTTTTGTTTGGTTGGTTGATTGGTGGGTTTTTTGTGGGGAGAAAACATTACCGCTGTTTTGGGAGAATTGGCAGGCAGGGTTGGGTTCTTTTGGGTTTTGTCTGTCTGTCTCTGATTGAGAAACTGAGGTAGAGACATGTATTCTCTGCCCTCTGTTAGTGTCAGCCCCATTCCTGACCTAGAGCCTGTTTGGTTCTCGGTTTGTTTGCCCTCAGATGAAAGCCTCGTGTGGCCTTGACAAAACCCAGCACCCATTCATGACGTAGAATAAACCAGGAATATGGAGAATTTCCTCGACTTGATAAAGAGCACCTATAATAAACCCACAGCTGACGTCATTCTTTCTTTTTAATATTTTATTTTTATTTCTGAGAGAGAGAGACAGCATGAGCGGGAGAGGGTCAGAGAGAGAGGGAGACAGAATCTGAAGCAGCACCAGGCTCTGAGCTGTCAGCAGAGCCCGACACGGGGCTCAAACCCACTAATGCAAGATCCATGACCTGAGCCGAAGTCGGGCACCCAACCGACTGAGCCCCCCAGGCGCCCCGAGCTGCCGTCATTCTTAATGATGAGAAATGAGATGCTTTCACCCTAAGGCTGAGGACAGCGCCACTGTTGGCATCCAGCATCTTACAGGATGTCCTCACTGATACAGCGAGGAAGGAAAGGGAATGCGACATACGCAGTTTGGGAAGGAGGGAACAGGCCCCTAACATGTGACGTGATGGTCTGCGGAGAAAATCCCAGAGAAATCCCAAGGAAACCTGGCCAGCAGCAAACAGCTGAATTCACAGTTTAGAAACACCATTACACTAGCATAGGAGAAAAAGACACGTACATACTTGTAACAGAATATGTACAAGATCTACGTGAGAAAACTGTAAAACTGTGATGAAAGAAAAGATTTAGGTAAACGGAGAGACATTCCATGTTCATGGGTCAAAGGCGTAGTGTTGTGAAGATGTCAGTTCGGTCTGACTCAGTCTGTAGAGTCGCTGAATCCAAATCCGAATCCCAGCAGGTTATTTTGTGGACACCAGGACACTGATGCTAAAGTTTGCAGGGAGAGGCAAAGACTCAGAGGGGCCCATTGGAGGGCTGACGCTGCCACCATCTAGACTGATGTCAGGCCACAGCTACTCAGGGCAGTGTGGCCAGCGGGATGGCATAGGGCCCGGAAACGGGCCCCCGCATACAGCGGTCAGCCCATCTTGACAGAGGTGCAACGGCCGCCCAAGGAGCGAAGACTGTCTCCTCCACAAATGGCGATGGAAACGCTGGGCGTCCATTTGCAAAAAGTGACTCCAACATGGATCTTCCACTTTTCAGAAAACCTAACTCGAAATGGATCATAGACCTAAGTGTAGAACCCAGGACTATGGACATCTAGATGGTAGCGTGCGAGAAAACCCACGCGCCGTTGGTGGGGCCGGGAGGGTTTGGGCACAGCACTGCAGGGGTGGCCGTGGGAGGTACTCCTCAAAAGACACTGTTGAGAGAGTCAGGAGACCAGCCACCAACAGGAAACATTTGCAAAACCCAAAGCTGGTAAAGGCCGTGTATCAGACAGGACCCGGGGGGTAAGGGGTGCCGGGGTGCGTCCAACGGGTGGGTCTGGGAACACTGGGAGCTAACAGACCAACACCGAGCTCAGCGTTCACTGGAATTAATGACCTCTGGGACATTGCTGTTTTCAACACAAAAGTTAAGGAAACTCCCCTCCTGAGGCAAAAATCAAACGTCTGGAGAATAGGAGGCGGCCAAGACCAGGCGCCCTCTCCGCCCCTCAGGCCCCCGTAGAGGGGAGGCGCGTGGGGCGGACCCCGGACACCCGCGCCGCGGGGGCGTCTCCACGCGGTCCAGGCCGCCTGGTGATGCCGACTGCTGGCGTAGCTCCCGCCGCCAGCTGGGAGCAGTGTCCCAGGACCGGAGAGCCTGTGACGGACTTACCGTCAGGGAAGAAGGCTCAGCGTGTGTGTGTTAACAGTCATAAGCTCACGTGGCGTATGAAATACATGTTAACGGTAAGACTGCTCCGCGTTCCGTCACATTATCTGGGACCGGGTAGCCTGTATGTTCCCAGGGGTCCTGTTCTGTGTCAGCACTTCCCTTCATGGCCGGCCAGTTGATAAAACAGCTACAGAACTCTAAATTTTGGACGGTGAGTCTTGTATCTAAAACTAAATTGTGCTCTGGAACGCAGCGCTCTCGCCGTGGAGCGGCGTAACGCTGGAGAGCAAAATGTGATCGCAGTGCCACATCTTTGTTTTTTCTTCTCCACAGTACACCTTTTGGAACTTCATACCCAAGAACCTATTTGAACAATTCAGAAGAATAGCCAACTTTTATTTTCTTATCATATTTCTGGTACAGGTAAGGCCAGCCGTCTTTTTTTTTTTTTTAATCACCATACAATCTAACTAAGTGATCTTTATTTTCGGGTGATTGACTGGGGTTTGCTAACGAGGAAGAGCAAGGACTTGGTGCCTTTATCTACACGTCCTCCACCTGTTTTCCTTCAGGGACAAGTGTTTTGGTTCCTTTGACTTGGCTCTGACCTCTTCCAGTCCTGGAGGGGAAATCAGGAACTTTCTGGTCGTTAGGAGAAATTCAGCAGCCACTGAGCTCTGTGATGTGGACCCCTTCCCACGTGCACAGAGATGCTCTAAAGAGATCAGAGAGGAAGAGAAAGGAGAGAACCAGGAAGGTCTGAATCAGGGAACGGTGGGTCCGTTATGTTTTAAGAATAGCAACCTCATTTTCCTCAGTCCTGTGACATACGGTGGAAGGGCTCTCAGAATTTCCCTACCATTAAATTATTCAAATAATGTAATTGAAACCTGGTACCACAGCAGAGCAGAAAATTAAAATAAAATGTGCACTAGAGTCAGACTCGTGTCTTTGCCAGTGTGGGCACGGTTTCCTGAAGCGGGTCCCTTAACCAGAGCGAACTACCCTCAGTTTTGTAGGAAATAGGATGACTTACCCCGATCTGACCGATCTCTAGTCGGGGGGTAGAGTGGGTAACAGTAAAGCAATTTGAAATACGCAAAAGCACATGTTTCCGACCAGTGTGTCTAACATCAGTGCAACGTGCCTGGAGAACGGCCCTGCAGTTCTGTTTTGCTTGCAGTTGATCATCGACACCCCGACGAGCCCCGTGACAAGCGGGCTCCCGTTGTTCTTCGTCATCACGGTCACGGCCATTAAACAGGTGAGAAGTCCGCAGGAAAAAGGGGAAGAGGTCACATCCTCATTAATGCCGCCTTCTGTCCAGAGCGGAGTGATCTGGTTTGTTTCAGCTAGTTTGTAGACAATTTAACCAAGTTCTAGAAATTCATTCTGGTAACTTAGATTGACACTTGGGCTGAAATAAGAGAGATTATATAACGTGGCAGTGAGCGTGATGCCCCCCGAGTCTGAGGGGGAAGCCAGGGTTTTCACGTTCAGAAGCAACCAGACACGGGATCTATTTTTAGAGGAGTTTCTTAACCTGTCCACACTGCTGACCGTCTGAGCCGTAGGCACCTGCTGTGTGCAGAGTCAGGGTGCAGTTTTCTAACAGAGTGTGCTGAGTTCTGACTCACTGCGTGCGGGGGGGCTGTTCCCCCAGGGCCGGTCCAGACAGAAGTTATTCCCATGTAGCTATGGCCGCTGTCTGGTTCTGGAAAATTCCCATCCCCTCGGGAGGAGGCCACAGGCCTACCCTGCCGTTCCCCTCCCCGAGCCCCTGGCCCCCAGCAGTGTGCCCGGGTCACGGCCACGCACGGCCACGCCTCCCACGGGCTGGGTGTGAAGCGGCTCTTTGTACTTTTGGTTTGCATTTCCTTGGTGACTAATGATTTTGAGGATCTTTTCCTGTGCTTATTGGCCATTTCTGTGTCCTCTTCAGAGAAAGGGCAGCAAATCCTTTGTCCATTTTAAAGTCAGGTTAAAAGTCTACTTATTGATGAGTTGCAAGAATTCTCTGCGCACTCCAGATACAGAGCCCCGATCTGCTGCAAACGTTTGAGCCTAAGGATGTTTGCACCTCAGTGTTGATTCATCAGCCTTCCATTTGGGAGATCTGGATAATTGGTAAAAATGGCAGCTTCTAGTGAAATGATCAATGGTCAAATTCTTGCTGACAAAGCCGTGCTTTCTTGGTGTTTCTCTTTAAATAAAAACAAAACAAAACAAAACGTGCTTTACGTGAGATGTGGTATGTGACAGCAGGTGACAGTGGAGGTCAGTGGCTTTCTCTAGACTGAGGAAGGACGTAGAGCGGGGTCAGGTTCTAGTGTGTGTGTGTATGAAGAGCGCCTCGAAGTTGTCTTCTGCTGGCCTAGCGCCTTCTCAGTGCGAGAGTGTCTGCATTAGTGTTGTTCTCATACAGAACTCTGAGCAGCATTTAGGGGTTTCTTCGTTTTGATCTGGATTTCATTTCTCACTCTTTAGTAACCTGGAAATACAGATTTGAACAAAATGATTTTACTTCATACCCATTAGATTGGCTTTTAAATGTAAAAGCCTGCGGGACAAGCAGGGGCGGGAATGTGGTGGAACGCATCCAACCTCCGCTGACAGGGGTGTGGTGGCGCCATCTTGGAAAACTGGCACTGAGGGGATGAGGCTGAGGCCATGGATGGCGGGACCCATGGTCCCGAGGGTGTCTAGTGTATGCAGTTGGTGTGTACTATATGCATCTCAGAGTATATGGAGGCCCTGTGAGGTGTCCTGAGATTTTCGTTGCAGGCCTCTTTGTAGAAGACAAACTCGGGACAAGATGTCCTTCATGAGGTAACAGACGACACGCCCGTTAGGCGTGTCGGGGGCACTGGTGCAGTAGCCACGTACGTGGAAGACACGGAACTGCATGACGCGCTTAGTTACAAAGGAAATACGTGTTTGTAAGCATGTAAACACTTCAGATGTTGTGACACACACGTGTCAGGAAAGTGGAAGCCGTGAACAGGAAGGAGTCTGTCTGAGGAAGGGAGAGAAGGGCTGGCGCACGGATCGGAGGCGCTGAGTGTGCAGCATCTCTCAGGACCTGCTCTGAGCGGCGGCCACAGCAAAGTGAGGTGTTTCCATCCTCCTCTGCGTGTTCGGGGGAATGACCATCCTTGTCCCCGGGAGGCTGTGCAGAGCCCACGTGAGGGCCTCAGGGGACGGTGGCTCTCAGCAGCGGGCGGTGACCGTGGGCAGGCAGAAAGGGAGCGGAAGGCGCCCCGAGGCCCTGCGGACGCACGGTGGACCCAGGACCGGGAAGGTACACCTGAAATACTGGCTTCCTAAGGGCACTTGAAGACCTTCAGAATAGGGAGGGCATGGGGGTGGGGCACGTGTGCTCAGCCAAGTGTTCGCTGTCGGCCACGCGGCCACGGCGCCCCTGAGGTCTGCCCACCACGGTGCCTTTGCCGGGAATGAGCGCGTGGCAACCCCGCTGGACACACGAGGGGGCCGCGGCTGCTGCAGGGTGGCCGTCGTGTGTGACGCCGAGATGCACGTACGCAGGCCTGGAGAGCCCGGAGCTGGCGGAACTGCGGCGCCGGACCCCCTGACCCACCCGTGGCCCACAGTCCCTGCTCCTCTGCGAGGGCTCCCAGCCTGAGCCACTGCCTAGCTCCACGAGCACGGCCCTCTGGCCCAGGCTCCGTGCCCCCCAGGCCGCGTGCCCCCCCACCCGCCCACACGTCTGCACACGTGTACTGTGGCCATGCCACCAGTAGTGGCTGTGACATGCTCCCGGGGTAGGGACCCAGATGAGGCTCACCCCTGGGCCTGCGGGAAAGGGCACAGGAGACCCCGCCCCGGTCCTCCCACCTGAGACGTTCCTGGCCTCGGAGGCCCTGGCCACGGTGCTGATAGTGAGCGGCCACGTGTGGTCATCCCAGTGGACTCCGGCACACATAGGAGACGCGTGTCCCACAGGAGAAAGTTCAGGAGCCCCATTCAGCAAATGGAGAGAAGTTGGGTTCGTGTGTCCCCATGACTCGAGGCGCGAGAATGCAGGGCCGTGGGGCAGCCAGCGTGGTGGCCGGGGCCACGAACAAGTGGGTAGATGTCCCACTTGAGGGAAAAGCGCAGACTTGATGGCGGGTGGGTGTCGGGCGTGAGGAAAGGTGACTGCCCCTCGCTTGTCCGACGGCTGCAGCGGGACACGCCCCGCGGCCGTCCGCTCCCGCCCATGGCGGTCTCTCCCATGCAGGGCTATGAGGACTGGCTCCGCCACAAGGCCGACAGCGCCATGAACCAGTGCCCGGTGCACTTCATCCAGCACGGCAAGCTGGTCCGGAAGCAGAGCCGGAAGCTGAGGGTGAGTGGAGCCGCTGGCGCTCTGCCGCCCGGACCCGGAGCCGTCCCCACCGCAGCGCTGCCCGGGGCAGGGGGTTCAGGAGCAGGACATCGTCCAGAGTCGCTCTATGGGCGGAGGCCGGCCTCTTCCCCTTCCCCAGAGCCTTCCACTCTGTCTTCCTGACTTTAAGTTTTATGTTTTTATTTTCAAGTTGCAATAAATAGACTTGACTTTTTAGAGCAGTTTAGAGCACGCCAGGGTTGCATGGCCTTTATGAGCTTGTGCTCACCCGTCACGATCGAGAAAGCTCTAAAACACTGTTAGAGAATTTGTTCTAGAATAAGGCAAAGTCATATAAACATGAACTCTGCTGGTTGGAAACTGTGAAAATAGGGACAGAAACCTGACGGAAGGCTGCATTTTAACTTCCTGTCTCCGTGAGGCGTCAGCGTATCGTTCCTGCTAAACGTCTGCATCACTTGAGCGGGTGTTTGCACACCTGCCCCAGCCGGCGGGAAGCGGTGCACAGACAGGGAGTGTCATCGCCAAGGCTGATCCTGCGGGGTGGTAGCGGGGACCCCACGCGGGCTGCCGCACCGAGGCCGTCCGTCTGTCTGTCCTGCAGGTGGGGGACATCGTCATGGTCAAGGAGGACGAGACCTTCCCCTGTGACTTGGTCTTCCTCTCCAGCAGCCGCGGAGACGGAACCTGCCACGTGACGACCGCCAGCCTGGACGGGGAATCCAGCCACAAAGTACCGCACCTTTCGCCCCTGCCGTGCCCGCAAGCCCAGCGCTGCCTGTGGTCCCCGGGCACCCCAGGGAGCTGGGCCACGTGTCCCCTCGGGCCCGTGACAGCCACCTGCGCCTGGTCAGCAGAGGCAACTGCATGTCAGTCCTCAGCTGCGGCGTTTAGCGGAGGGGCCAAATCACGGATGCGATGGGCAGACTGGGAAGTTTGAAATTTCTCATTTAGCGTCTTGTCTAGACTGGAATTATGTGAAAAGTCACGCAAGAGTCCAGGTTTTAAGTGATTATCAGTTCAAGGGGTGCCTTTTTGTTAGAATATCTTCAGGACTCTCTGAAGTTATAATTAGGGTCTGGGACTCGGTGTGGGGCTCTGTCCTGGCAGTTGGTGCTGCACAGCTTTAACGATCACGAAAGGATGGAAGGCATCACTATTACTTTTAAGGATTTTGTTATTAAAAACCATGGAACTTTCTGAGGAGTTTAGGAAGTGAGCATTGCTCGGTGGGCTCAGCTGTGTCAGAGGCCTCGGCTGACTGCAGCTAATTGTGGTTTTCAACGATGGAAAAGAGAGGTTTTCTTCCTTTTGTGGATAATTCACATCCTCCCGTAAACCGTGCGAGACTTTTTGGGCACATGTTGTATGTACACATCCCGAGAGAGCTAGCATTCTGGCCCCACTGACACTAAGTCAGGAAACGCACAGGGGCGCCAGGGGCCCCACGCATCCCTGGCCGTCGGCAGCAGGCTGTCTCGAGCCCGTCCTGCGGGAGGGGTGCCCCAGCATCGCGGCCACACGAGTGGTCTGCACGTGAGATGGGGCAGCCGTCGCCCTCGCGCACTGCAGGCGGAAGCCCCCCTGTGCCTGGGGTGCCGTCGCGCTCTGCATCCCGTTGGTGTCTGTCTGACATCACTGCTGCTCACTCGGCCTGGCCTGGGGGCCGGCCTGGGGGCTGGAGTTACCAGAGCCCTTTGCCTAAAAGGCAGTGGGGTTCCCGCACTGGTCACGTTTACAGCTCATGTGGCCTCGGGCAGGCACTTCTAAGTTCTCTGTGGTTTCCACGTCCACGGAACAGACCTGTCTCCCAGGGGCTCCTGTGGCGATAGACTCAGAAAGTCTCCCAAAGCCCCAGGTGCACTGGGCTCCCCGGGGTGTCGTGGATGCTGTCCCTGCCACGTGATTGTATCCCCACTTGTTTGCATCACGCCCTTTCCTGCCCACGCTTGATTTCCGGGAGGATGAGAAGGCGCTCAGAGACGCACTGTCTCAAGCAGGCCCTCGCACTCGGGCTCTGAGCCCATGCAGTCGTGTCGGTGCATCTGGCCAGGGCATCGGCGTTGCCTGGGTCATGTTAGAAATGCCATTCTTGGGGCCCCCAGACCCCGCACTCGGGGCTGCCCCACTGTCAGGGTCCCGCAAGTCCTCCAGGGTCTGAGGCTTGCTTGGTTCGCGGAGCTGTCGGTCGAGGCCAAGTGGGCAGCTGTGCGGTAGAAGCTCACGCTCACCAGCAGCGCCAGGCGAGGGCAGTTTGTGATGCCAAGGCCAGCACCGTGCACATAGTAGGTCCTCACCTGAGGAAAAGGAAAATCAACTGAGTCACTGTGACAGATCCAAGTGTCCCACTTTGCAGAAGAATGTGCAGTGACTGTTAGTTTGAAGTTGAGGGTGGCGGGCGGGGGTGGATGTTTCCGGCACCTTATCAAGGAACACCGGTAGCACAGTGCGATCCTGTAACTTGTTAACACCCACAAATCCATTACACGTTTACTTACGTGCTACTCGTGGGAATACGTGTACGTTTTGTCTGAGGCTTAGCTGTGGGCACAGCAGACAAGACGTGGTGCTGCCCCTGTCCGAGGGGCGCCGGGGTCGTGTCCGTGGTTTGGTTGTGAATTCACCTTTCTTGTCCATGTGCAGACTCACTATGCCGTTCAGGACACTAAGGGGTTTCATACCGAAGAAGATATCGACGGCTTGCACGCCACCATTGAGTGTGAGCAGCCCCAGCCAGACCTGTACAAGTGAGTGCCATCTGTGTCCCCATCAGGTCTTCTTGTTCTGCACCCGACTGCGTCCAGCGCCATGCTCGTTTGGGAAGAGAACGTAAAATCACTGTGTAAAAATGAAAACGAAACCAGAAATACATAGCTTAGAAATTTTCATAGTCCAACAACATTAAAATCTATAGCTATTTGTGTAATTATTTGGACTGGCTTCATGGAACAAGGTTTATTGAGGAAAAAGTAATTTTCTGTAATTCGAGGAACCTGTTTTAAGGAAAATCTTGAAGTCATGGGCTAACAGGGAAAGAAAATAAAGGGAGAAAGGGGGAGGAATTTAGGTGAAGATCCCAGCCCGTGAGCTTCCCTTCGGGAAGTGGGAGGCGGGTGCGGGGAGCAGACAGGCGCCGGCTCCGTGTCTCCTGAGGCAGCTGCGGGCACTGACCCGGCTCCTCTGTCACCAGGTTTGTCGGCCGCATCAACGTCTACAGCGACCAGAACGACCCCGTGGTGAGGTGAGCGCAGACGGGCGGGGGCTGTTTTCGTCCCTGCTGTCAAATCCAAGTGAATTCTTGGATTTCTGTTAAGAGGCTTCCACTGTGGCCGCTCCGTCGGGTTTGGAGGGCAGAATTCTGCTTTAGCCAAGGTCCAGCGTCCGCCGCCTTTTCTGGCTTCTCTTGTGAATGCAGCTGTTCGTGCCAACAACTGATGGCGCTCACGGAAAACGTTCTGTCCCCAGTGTCAGGAGCCCCGTCGCCGTTGGCTGCTGCCCCCGTTAGAAATGCCCCGCGGCCTTCATAGACTGTGACGCAGAGGGATCTCTGACGTTTTCTTGGGGGGTGTGCATCTCCTCGCAGTCATCACCCGCCCACTTTGGCTCTAGACCATGTCTAGACTGAAAGGGATGTGTCTCCCTGGGGACCGTGTTGGTGGCAGGTGGGTGTGCTCGCCTGTCATCGTCTGGGACCTGTCACACCCACGGGTTGTGGACAGGGACCGGCGCCCACCAGGCGTCAGCTCTGAAGGCCCGGGCGAGCGTGGTCATTGGCACCGGCCTGTGTCCCCAGGCCTGCGGGCGTGTCTTCCGGACATTGTCCGCCGATCAGCAGGGCTTTGCTGCCCGGGACACCGAGATGGACGGTGCAGGGAGTTGACTCTGGGGAGGATTCCGAGTTGACCTTTTCCACAAACCCCGCTTGCTGGAGAGTCCGACGTACGTGGCCTCCAAACCGTTGACGTCCTGGTGTCCCCTTGTGGGTCAGAGAAAACCGCTGCCCAGAAGTAGTTCAACGGGACTTCGAGGAACGTGAATAGTTACTGAAACGTAAGCCCCTGGGGCCTCTCTGCTCCCACAACCCTTGAAGTTCTGTTTTCTGGAAATGGCGCGTGCACTTCACGTCCCATCTCCGGAACCGGTAGCGCTGGGGAGGCCGTGGCGCGTTGCCGTGATCTTTCATAACCCAACGCCAGTCCACAGGAAGTCCCTGCGGAGAAGCAGCCTGTGCTTCTGCGTCTGCTGAGCGTTCATGTTTGCAGGAGTGAGTAGAGAGGGATCGGCTCCTGAGCCACTGGGACGAGCCAGGAAAAGTCACCGCTGCCGGCTTTGCGTGGTTCACGTTCAGACGCGGTTTAGTGCCGAGCAGTGTGGAGCTAATTACTCACGTATTTCACGTTTTGACCCTAATTCTTGTTTTGTTTTGTAAGTATTTGTACTTTTCAGCAGGCTTGTAATATTTCGGTGTGGAAGGTGTGTATAAATCTGTGGTGTGAGCGAATGGTGATGAATTATGTATCCTTAATCCAGTCAGAGTGGTGCTTCTCCGTCCTCTGTCCAAACTGGATGCAAAGTTCCTTTTAAAATAAATTATGTTAGCCTTCCCGAGACCCTTTTTAAAAGGTCCGTTTGCTTTTGTAAGCGCGGCCGGCGGAGGCCGGCAGGATCGGGAACAGGGGTGGACGGCGTGTGCGCAGCCTCCGTGGCCCTCAGGCCGGGCACGGGTGTCCAGACCGCGGGGCTGCCCTGGGCAGGCACGTCCGGTCAGGTGAGGCCCGGCGGCAGCCTCTCCGCCCCTGTCTTCAGCGCGATGGGGCCCTGAGCCGTGCCGGCCGAGTGTACAGAACGCACCGCGGGTGTGTGGTGTTCGTGTGCAGTCGGCTGCCCAGGGCCAGAGCGCGTGGCGTGCGCTGAAAAGTGCCAGCACTTGCCTTGACCCCGCCAGGGAACCGTCAGAAGGCTCGCGGCAGCAGCGCCTCAGGGCTGCCCTCCGCGCCCTGTTTCTCCTTTTCTCCTGGGAACTGGGAAGCTCTGAGCCTCGAGAACCCACACCCCACAAGGGCAGAGGCTTGGTCTGTTGCTCGCTGTTGTGGGCGTAGGGCCCTGCCCATTCCGACGCGAATGACTTAAATTCCGTGGCCTTTGCTTCCCCAGAGCGGTGGTGCGGGGTGGTTCCGGACTCCACCCGCTCCCACGGGGTCCCTGGGGTTTGCCCCCGGCCCCGTGTGGATCACTGCACACGGCGTTCCCAGCCTCTGCTCTGAAAGTAAGGCCAGATCATGGGAGTCTCGCTGGGGATGCGGTGGAGACCGCCCAGCCTCCTGAGTCACAGACCCCATGTTTTCTCTCTCCCTGAGCGTCTAGGGCCCCAGCCCAGACCAGCGGTGCCCACAGGAGGCCGTCAGGAGTGTGTCCCCAGGCGCTGCTGGTGGGACCCCGCGGGTCGGCCCGCCTCCCTCTGTCGGTCTGGGTGGGCTGGGAGCCCGCGTTCCTGACGGGGGCCACACCCGGTGGCAGTGCCCTGAGAGCAGGTACAGCAGAGTGCCAGCCGCTGGGCCCCACCCAGGGGGGGCCACATGCTCTTACGGGGAGCAGGACTAAGTGTCATAATCCACATAGAAGCGTCTCTTTGTCGACACGATTTCTTCTTGGAGCCGAGTCTGTTGGGTGTGGGCCTCGACTTTGCGCCCGTAGCGCCTTCCTCCGCCTGCTGCGTGACCGCTCTGGTCCCTGTGTCCTTGCAGGCCGCTGGGGTCAGAGAACCTGCTTCTCCGAGGAGCCACGCTCAAGAACACCGAGAAGGTCTTCGGTCAGTGTCCCAGTTGGCAAGTCACTCCTAACAGCTTCCAAAGTTAAGGATGCACAGAACAGTTCAAGCCCACAGGCTGCCACGAGCCATCTCTCCGTGCCCTGAGTGGACTCCATGGCAGCGGTGAAAACCCGTACTGAGGGTGACGAAGTGGTGGCGTCTCAGGATGTCGCTTGTGTATCAAGTGCCTATAGTTTTTGACTTAGACACACAGAGTCCTGTCCACGAGAGAATTCACGCAGTGTATTTCCACAGCAGAGTTCTCTCAACGGCTGCGTGGCTTTGGTAACATCTCCCATTTCTGTGGGTTATGTTCGTCTTTTAACTGAGACAAGTTAAAAATATGCATGTGTGCCTCCCTGTGGTCCGAAAACCCAATATATTAAAACCTGAGCTTCAAGAAAAAGTAGAGATTGATTTCTATGCAGGAGGAAAAAAAGTATTTCTTAAGTCTGAAGAATCCTGTTGCAGGACTCTTTAGGAACTGCTAGCTTACTGAGTGAAATTTACAGTATGACTTGTTGTGTCCAGAATTCTGTGTTTCCTGGGGTCACTGTTCTGACCGTAGACTTCTGCCTTGCAGGTGTTGCTATTTACACGGGCATGGAAACCAAGATGGCGTTAAATTACCAATCAAAATCCCAGAAACGGTCGGCTGTAGAAAAGTAAGCAAGCGCCGGGACCCCCTTGCTGGAAGTGCGTACAAGCTCCCTGAGCTAGAACCGTCTTGAGCCCCTGTAGACGTGAAAGCGGTTTCCTTCTGGCTTCATTAGTAATTCCTTCATGGTCTCTAAGGAGACGGTGGCACCGGCATTTAGGTGGATGGTCTCTTCTGCGGGGATGCAAATGGCCGCACACCATCAACCCGCGCCCGCGGGCTCCCCCCTGTGGACAGCTGCAGTCCCGCAGCATTCTCACCAACCCACTTTCAGCTTTGGGGTTGTTGGAAGCCACGTGAGGAGAATGTGAGCAGAGAGAACAATCTTCCTTTCGTTAGATGGTGAAATCCTTACCGTGATGAGTCAAGGACAGAGTTGGATTTGTGAGAAAACGTGGCCCAGAATTTTGTCTTATTCTTTTGTTCAGGCGTGTCCCTGACTCACAGTGGTTTAAGTTATCTCATACGGGGCTGTGTGGGCTCGGGGACCTTTGGGAAGACTGTCCGATGTCTTCGGTCTGCTCCGGGCACGTTGGTCACAGAATGTGATCCTGCATCTCTGTCCATCGATGGCTACACCAAACGTGAAATGGAGCTTTAGCTCTTAATAAGCCAGAATGCTTTGTTTCCAGGTGTCTGGCTTGACAGTGAGGCCTCAGAAATAAGCCCTGGAATATCCAGCCCCCTCACGAGACCCACTACGACACTGGCCAGGGACGCAGCCTTTTCCCTATTCGGGGGGCGTTTCCCTCCTTCCCCAGTGGCAGTCTCTTAACTTGGAATTCACTGTTGGTGCTGGGTGGCAGAAAGATGGACTTCGGGCGTCTATGAGTCTTGGAGCCCCGGCCCACGGTCAGCAGCGTGGCTGCGTGCCCCGCCCTCTGCCTTGAGGCCGGTGGCCCTAGAATCACAGGCCAGTGGGCAAGGGTGGACTCAGATACATGCGAGCGTCTGTCATGTTACCGGGCCGGGAGGGGGGCTCACTTGTGGCTGTTTCTTGGCCACGCGTTTGGCTCGACTTGTGAGAACGGGGACGCGCCGCTCTGGGTCGTCTGGGAAGCAGTAACTGAGTGCCGTGGCTGTCTTGTGCTTAGGTCCATGAACGTGTTCCTCATCGTGTACCTCTGCATTCTGATCAGCAAGGCGCTGATAAACACCGTGCTCAAGTACGTGTGGCAAAGCGAGCCGTTCCGAGATGAGCCGTGGTACAATCACAAGACTGAGTCGGAAAGACAGAGGAACCTGGTACGGAAGGGGCTTCCCTTTGCGGTGACCACACGGCCTGTAGGCCATTGTTAAAGACAACAGGGCATGAAGCCCCGGTTGGTGACTTCTCTGTCCTGGAGGCGGTCACAGATCTCAGAGTGTCAGCTGTCTGCCCCGCAGACCGCGCTTGACCGTCTTGGTCGGGTACTGGCGTCTACGGTCTGGAAAGGGATAGCCTCCCACGGTGCCTTCACAGGGCGGCACCGTCAACGCTTCCGGAGCCTCTAGAACCCACTGCAGTGTCCTGTGTTTGTTTTTGTTTGTTTTAACATTTTATTTATTTCTGAGAGAGAGAGAGAGAGACACAGGATGAGCAGGGGAGGGTCAGAGAGAGAGGGAGACACAGAGTCCAAAACAGGCTCCAGGCTCTGAGCTGTTGGCACAGAGCCCGACGCAGGGCTCGAACCCACGAACCGTGAGATCATGACCTGAGCTGAAGTCGGACGCTCAACGGACTGAACCCCCAGGCGCCCACAGTGTCCTGTATTTGGACGGTGCTCGGCAAAGGCTCAGAAAGGGTTGTAAGGTAAATGGTACCAGTTTACGGGGAGATTAAGGAAAGGAGGAGCATGCCAGTTATAGGAAAATTGTGGGAAGAATTCAGTTCATTTTTCCTTAGGGGATTTGGGCCCAGTTGCTCATGTTTACGAAAACCCATTTTTCTTAAGCCAGGAGTTAAAACATTTGATTGACCCTCCTCCACATAAAAGAGTTAAGACCTGAGCCATGTGCCTCCAGAACAGGGGGCCCTGCATGCAGAGCAGACCATGTGCAGGTCAGGACCAGGGAGCGCCGGGTACAGAGCAGACTGTGTGCAGAGCGAGACCGTGTGCGGGTCAGGACCAGGGAGCGCCGGGTGCAGAGCGAGACCGTGTGCGGGTCAGGACCGGGGAGCGCCGGGTTCAGAGCGAGACCGTGTGCGGGTCAGGACCGGGGAGCGCCGGGTGCAGAGCACGGCGTGTGCGGGTCCAGAGCAGAGTCCCTCCCGTCCTGTGTGCCGTCGGGTCTCCCACCAAACTAAATGGCTTAAAGGTTGGAACAAAATTGTACGGAGAAATCCTTTCTTGCAGCCTTATTTTTGGGGCGTTCCTAGATTATGACCCAGTAAGTTCGGTAACACGTCAGAGTCTTGAAGGCAACGTGGAGCCCTCCGAGGTGCAGTGGCCCACGGCTGTAGCGGGCGGCCCCGCCTCCCCCAGTGTGACTGTCTCGCAGGTGGCCTGCCCCCCCCCAGGCCCTCTCCCCGTTGGTGGCCCTCCTGGCGCTGGAGTCGGGTGACTGGCACTAAGCGCGGCTGCCCCCACATGATGTATCTTTGGGTTTGAAACAAACGCCCGTATTTCCAAGTAGCACTGGCGCACCCCGAGGGGACCGCCGAGCGTCAGACCTCCGGACGGTGGCGATGGGAGCCGGGAGGTGACGCGGGGCCCTCTCAGTTCCTCAGGGCGTTCACGGACTTCCTGGCGTTCATGGTTCTCTTCAACTACATCATCCCGGTGTCCATGTACGTGACGGTGGAGATGCAGAAGTTCCTGGGCTCGTACTTCGTCACCTGGGACGAAGAGATGTTTGACGAGGACACGGGCGAAGGGCCGCTGGTCAACACCTCGGACTTGAATGAAGAACTCGGACAGGTCAGTCCGGGTGGCGGCCTCTTCCCTGCCGCGTGCACGATCGCGCCCTCTGTGCCGTGCACCCAGGCGTCCGGGGCGGGCACGTTACCCAGACAGTTCGAATGAAAGCTTTTCCGTTTCAGTTCATTCGTGCAGATGTGTCCTCTGACTCGTGAAAGACAGCGGCAACGTTGGGTTTTTAACTTTATTGATGTGACGGTTGTTAGTGCTTCCGTGTGCACGGTTCACGGGAGGTCAGCTGTGCAGCCGTGGGGTGAGCTCAGCGTGGCCGCGTGCTGTGCGGGGGTTTCATGCCGTGTGGGCGGCGAGCACCTGTGTCCAGGTGGTCCCTTCCCTCCGCCTGAAGGTGAGCTAGGTGTGACCTGGGGTGGCCGTGGCCAGGTGGCCCGCGGAGGCAGCTCATGGCTCACTCCTGGCCCCAGCTCTCCGCACCTGAGCTGCCGAATCTGTCAGCGGGCCTGAGGCCATGACCAGGCTGCCCGAGGGCAGGGCGGGCTGACCGGGGTGTCGGGGTGTGGTGTCGGCGGGGTGCGCGGCCGCCTGTCCGCTGGACCCACACCTCAGCTCCGTCCTTGGGAAACAGCTAAGGAAAGGCCCCGCGGCCTGGCCTAACCCTCTCCCAGGGGTCACGTAGGAAAGGGCGTTTGGTAAACGGTGGTTAGTTCATCTTTAAAAACAAAACCAAAAAACAGGAAGAAATTTGGGGGAGCATTTTTGCCAAGAGGGCTGATAGACTGGCAGCTGAAATCCCCCCCACACTGCCCCCGAAACGCAGTCTGTAAATAGACGCTCGGACTCAGGTGGGGACCTGCTCCCCTCAGCCCTCGGGTCAAAGGGTCTGTTCCAGAGAGAGAACTTGCTTGTTGGTGAGCTGGGCTTTCGGGGCATTGCCTCGGTGTGTGCCTCAGCCCCGGGCCTGACCCCGGTGCCACGCAGCCACGTGGAGCCCCGGCCCACCCGCTCGGCACCAGACCAGCTTTCCCTCCGCGTGTCCGCATCCTTGGCAACAGAACCTGGTGCATTTTGCACATTCCTGGGAAATTCTCAGAGAGCATTTCTCGGTAACGAGAAAAATGTCGAGTTGTGTTTAGTACGGAGAAGGTATCGGCCTCCAACCGCGTGGCAGCACCGGGGCCCCGGAGGCTTGTGGGAGGCTCGTTTCAGGAAACGGGACCCGCTGGAATCGTCATTGCTGATCCCCCATCAAAAACATCAGGTGTCATTTACTTCCGACAACACAGCTGCCCGCGCCTGCGAGTCCTCACGCGCGGCCACCTTCCGGTCACTGGTTTTCCAGATCGCAGGTGGGGCGAAGACACGCGAATGCTTGTCTGGGAACCCCGTGCCTCTGCACTTCCTGCCCTCACAACCTGCCTCCCCTGCGCGTCCGGGGCAGCGAGCCGGGACGCGCTCCTCAGGCCAGCGGGGCTCTGACGGCCCCGCGCTGTTCCACCGTCCAGAATGCCGCGTCGTTCCTGATGAACACAAAACCGGAATGGGTCCAAGTTTAGGGCATAAACGGGGTGTCGTTTTCTGTCTGAAATTTGCTTTGTGCTTTTGTTTGAGTTCTGACTTCGGAACCTAAGTGGGGGCTGAGTTCTGACCTCCCAGACCTTCTCGAGTGAGCGCAGGTTCACCGCCCCGTGCCCTTCATTGTCTCGTACCCCCGCCCCGCCTCAGTCTGTCCGGGCAGTGGAAGCCCGGCTGGACCCAGCGTTTCCCTCCCCAGACCGAGGCCCTTCCCGTCGAGGAAGGTGTGCGTGTCCCCGAGGGACCGCTGGCCCCGGCGGGAGCAGCAGCAGGCTGCTCGCCGGCGCATGGCCCCGCGGCGCCAGCACGATGTGGGCACAGAGCCGGGAAGCCCCCTCCGTGCGGACGCAGGGCTGCATTGGGGTCTGAGCCGCACGCGGTGCCTCCCCCTGCCCGAGGCCCCTGGCCGGCCCCACCTAGCGCAGCCGTGCGTCCGCAGGTGGAGTACGTGTTCACGGACAAGACGGGCACGCTCACCGAGAACAACATGGAGTTCAAGGAGTGCTGCATCGAGGGCCACGTGTACGTGCCGCACGCCGTCTGCAACGGGCAGGTGCTCCCCGACGCCTCCGGCATCGACATGATCGACTCCTCCCCGGGCGCCGGCGCCAGGGTAGGTGGCCACGCCCCCGGCACCTCAGGGCGTCCCCTCTGCGCGGCGCGGGGGCCCCAACCCCGGGGCTGCGCCAGCTCCCGCTCCAACCCTCTGGCCGCCAGCGCCCTGACCCGTGGGGCCCGGCAGGTCACGTCCCTGAGAAGCAGCTTTACACGGTGGACCCGCAGGGCGAGCGGGCGCTGAGAGCCGATGTCTGTGCTCATGCACACGTGTGTGCTCACGCTCAAGCACATACACACGCATGCATGACAGAGATGCGCACACGCAGACACATGCCCCGCACATGTGCATTGCAGGTACACACGAGTGCACACACAGACGTGCTCTGCACACGCATGCACACACCTCACAGGCACACGTTTCCGCCGTGGCTCCGGATCTCAGCCTCTCTGGGAGGTGCCGTGACCCTCACCATGGGGTCACCGCGGTCGGCGAGGGCACTGTTCCCAAAACCTTGGTGCGTGCAGAGCCCTGTGCAGGGTCGCCCGGGGCCTGAGGGTGGCGCACCGTTGCGGGCTGCGCCGCGACCGCCGTCGTGACCAGCTGCCCCCGACCCCTGCCCCCTGGGTCTCAGGCAGTTTCCTCCTGGGAACGACTGCCTCCCCGCACAGTCTCGGAGGGACGGCCGGGGTCTGAGGTCATCGTGAGGTGTGCCACCCGCCTGCTGCGCTCTCAGCTCTCCTCCCCCATCGGCCACACCCCAGGGCCCCCGGGAAGGTGGCCGGGGATCCCCAGGGCAAGCAGGCTTGTGGAGGCTTGGCCCGCGGAGTTCACCACCTGCGACCTTGACCCCGGCTCGTCCCCTCCTTACTCACAAGTGCTGGAGAGTGAAGAGAAGCCCCACACGCCCCTCCCCTAAGCACCGGAGGCGGGACTAGTCCCTCCGAATCCCTGAAGGGCGCACCCCTGCCCGCACCCCTGCCTCGTTGTTGATCCGCCGTGTGCCCTGAGCCTCCCGGGCACAGACGTGTGGGGTCTTGTGCTGCGCTTTGCAGGAGCGGGAAGAGCTGTTTTTCCGGGCCCTGTGTCTGTGCCACACAATCCAGGTGAAGGATGACGATGACGTGGATGGACCCCGGAAGTCACCGGGCTCAGGGAAGTCCTGTGTGTACATCTCGTCCTCTCCCGACGAGGTGGCCCTGGTCGAAGGAATCCAGAGGTACGTTGTCCAGCCACAGGCGGGTCTGATGTCCGAGGTCCGTGCCAGGCGGTCGGCCCCGACCGTGGCTCCTACTGGAGTGTCCGGGACGTCCCCGTGCTGCAGGGGGGCGGGGGGTGGACAGGCGGGGCCCTCGCACCCCCATGTCCCCCATCTCTGTGGGCGGAGGAGGGTCCCTTCTGCACACCGCCTGCTGGCGCCGCCCCCCCCACCCCCCGCCGCCGCTGGTCGCTGCCACTCTTAAGCGCGTGGTTCCCCTTCTAACTTCCGTCGAAGAACCAACAGCCTGAGACCCGTCTCGGGGCCAGTCTCCTCCGCCCTGAGGAACTGGGGCCGAGCGCGTCGGGCGCCCTGGCGGCACCCCAGCGTGCAGAGGGCTCCGGCTGGGCGCGGGGTTCTCCTCGTGGCTCACTGTCTCCGCCTGCTGTCGCAGGAGAGCTGCGCGCCAACGCGGATACGTTATTCCAGAGCCAAGTCGGGGAGGTGCTTCCCCGGTTCCTGCGCCTGCGGCTCCTCATTTCACGCGAGGGGCCCATCGTCCTCGTCGCTGACGGGAGCGAAAGGGCGCTGGACGCCTCTCACCTGATGAGGACCTGTGCGCTGTTGGCTCATGCATTTTTTTCTTTTTTTTAAAGTTTCTATTTATTTTGAGAGAGCGCGCGCACGCGCACCAGTGGGGGAAGGGCAGAGAGAGGGAGAGAGAGAATCCCAAGCAGACTCCACCGTGTCTGTGCAGAGCCCGATGCAGGGCTGACGCAGAACCATGAGATCATGACCTGAGCGGAAACCAAGAGTTAGAGCTCAGCCCACTGAGCTTCCCAGGCGCCCCGCCTCACGCGCGTCCCTGCAGTCTGAGTGGTGGCTTGAGGCGTGAGCTGTGTCGCTGGGACCTTTAGCGACTACGCAGATCCTCGCGCAGAGGAGCTCTCTCCTTGGATGTGAGGGCTCAGAGGGGGCAGCGCGTGCAGAGCCGGGACGGGGTATTGCTGCCACCCGCCGTAGACCTGCTGCTGGGGTGGGTGGATACCCTGGCCCCACGGTCCCGCGGCCACTGGCCGTGTTGGGGCGGCAGCTCCGCGTCCCCACGCCCCTCTCTCTGCGCCCCAGCGCCTGGCGTGTGGGCGGCTCTCGGGCTGGCAGAGGAGAGGTTGTTTCAGGTCACACACTCTGCGGACATTCGCTGTCAGACTGCTCTGGGCCGTGGTTTCCTCATTGGTAAATGAGAGAGTTGTTCTGGAGACTGACCATCTCCCCAGGTCCTGGTGACTGTGACACGGCAGCCGCGGCTCAGTAGGCCACTGGTCACCGCCACGGGCCGGCCCACACACCTGTTCAGTGACACCAGCGCGAGGGCAGGAAAAGTCACCAAGTCTGGTGGCTCCCAGACAGTTAGCCAAGTGTGAATACAGCGCTGTCATAACTTCCTAAGTCTGCGGCGCAGTTTACAACCTCTGTTTTGCCGGAAGTATTTCTTTCTTGAAAAGAACGCTCTCCCCAAACGTAAGAAACACAGAGGAGGCGCCGGGGACCCGGGCTGAGCTCCGCACCTGTGTCCCTTTGCAGACTCGGCTTCACGTACCTGCGGCTGAAGGACAACCACATGGAGCTACTGAACAGGGAGAACGGCGTGGAGAGGTGAGGTGCTGCGCTCGGCGGAACGACTCCTGCCCACGACCGCTGCCCTGCGCCCACGCCCGCCTCCCCTCCTCCTCCTGAGAACCCGAGGCCGCTGCGCGCTTGCGGGGAGCTTAGGAGCGGACGGCGGACGGCCAGAGGGGAGGCCGGCTGTGCCGCGGCGTCCAGGGGGTCTGCTGCGAGCCGCCTGTCATCAGGCTTTAGCACAAGAGTGCCCTCAGCTTCCAGGACGTTCTGACACTCTCCTGGCCGCTGCCCGCCTGCCCGCCTGCCCCAGGGAGTGGCCACAGTGGCCCCGTGTCCACACAGCGCCAGCCCCCGGGTTGTGGGACCCACGCCCCGCAGAAGGCAGTCTGAGCAAGGACACCGCGGATGCGGGCGGTCCCCGGCCTGTCCTCAGTGGCTACAGGCCCTCAGGGCTGGTGGCTGTGTTGGTCTGAGACGCCTCGTCCCAGAGACAGAGGGCGAGTCCTGAGCCTTGACTCAAGACTCCCAGCCTCCTTTACAGACACTGCCAGCGATGGGCACGGGCAAGGACGGGTGGCTAAGAATGTAACACTTGGTGGTGACAGGCTCTGAATCCCCTGGATTTTAGCGTTTCCTTGAGAAAAATAAACCCCCGGACTAGCGTGAGTGGCGCACCCCTGCCCAGTGACTCGGGGACTGGCTGCAGGCCCCGTGTTGGCACAGGGGGCTGGTGCCCGCAGTGCCGGGGGTTCCCACGGAGGGGAGGACGCCCTTGGGGTGCTGCTGAGGGGTGCACGGGGCCCTCGAACAGCTGGCCCCCCCACCGAAGCTGCAGCTGGAACAAGGAGTTTCCAGAGGCAGGGTCAGGGCTGCTGAACCACCTTTGGTATTTTATGTGCCAGGCAGAGCTCACACTTTTCTGATAATAAGACTCTGCAAGCCAATTAAATACTGGTTTTCTTTGCTTTTTAAATGATTCTTATGAACCGAAAGGACCCTGGTTTATTGTTCAGGAATGAAAGCTCTGATACATCTGTGTGTCTGTGTTCAGAATTCAAGAAAGTGTCCATTTAGTTTGGCGCACGGATTCCTTGGGCACCTACACCTTGGGCTGGGGGTGGGGGGTCCCGTGCGTAGGTCCTGGCAGTGAGCACGTGGAGCCTGGCCTCGGGGTGCCGTGCCGGCCGGCCATGAGGAGCAGAGCCCCCCACCCTGTGGCTCCCGCCTCGGTGAAGGGGCGGCCTGGCCGGAGGGACTGGGCAGGCATGCCGGGAGGGCTTCCTGTACGAGGTAGAGGACCCTCCAGACGCTGTGCTGAGCTGAGGCCTGTGCTGACCCAGGTTCCAGAGCTTACAGAGCAAGGTACGTGTTAACCACACTTTTTCATCTCTTTTGCAGGTTCGAATTGCTGGAAATTTTGAGTTTCGACTCCGTAAGAAGGAGAATGAGTGTGATTGTCAAATCTGCTACAGGTAGAAGCATCTTTTTCCTTCCATTTTCTCAGGCGCATGTTGTGGTGTTTGCTCTGATGCTCACTTCCTGCACCGAGCGTTCATGGTCTCTGAAAGAGCAGTATGAACCCTGTGCAGGTCCCGTGTCTCCCCCGGCACCGTCCGTGGGCACAGGAAAGCCTGTGGTCTCCCTCCGGCAAGTCCTGCGGGGTCTCCTCTCCTTCCCTGCAGCCCCGCCTCCCGGTCTGCGGCCGCGTCCGTCCTCAAGGCCCAGGGCACCTTGCTGGGTCAGGCGGCCGCTTCTCCCGTGTCCTGGCGCGGACTCCCGAGCTGCCTTCCAGCTCTGTGCCCCAGGCCGACCCCAGATGTGCACACTGTCCGCCTGGGGGCCCCTCTCCCCGGAGGGTCCTTTCCGCCTGGGGGCCCCTCTCCCCGGAGGGTCCTTTCCGCCTGGGGGCCCCTCTCCCCGGAGGGTCCTTTCCGCCTGGGGGCCCCTCTCCCCGGAGGGTCCTTTCCGCCTGGGGGCCCCTCTCCCCGGAGGGTCCTTTCCGCCTGGGGGCCCCTCTCCCCGGAGGGTCCTTTCCGCCTGGGGGCCCCACGACCGCCTGGTAGGCAGCCTTCCCTGGCCCTCAGTCGGGTGAGCTGTTTGTCTTCTCCCCTGGCCCGGCCGTGAACGTCCTGAATACCGACCCCCGACTTCCCTCAGCAGCGTACGCGCCGCTGCCGTGCCTTCGACCACCCAGTAAACACGACTTAATTCAATATGCTCAGTGCAATCGCAGTTTCAAAGCGGCAGCTATCAAAAGATGTGGGATCACAAAGCTGCTGATACCAGGCGGTTTGTCTCTGCAAAGCTGCCTGGTAAGCAGGGAGACGCAGCCAGGGTCCTGGAACCGGACAGAAGGACTCTGAGCCTCAGGTGGTGACCTGAGGGCACCGTGGGGAATCCGTGTCAGCCGGTGTCCTGGTGCTCGCGGGAGGTCCTGGCGTGGGAGGCGGGCGCAGCAGGAGTGCCTGGACAGGGCCACTGTCACCCTCCTCATGGGACCTCAGGACCCGTCTCCCCCTCAGGCCCCGGAGGACCATGTCAGGTTGCCGGGGCGCGTCTTCCGGTGGGACGCCGCGAACCACTTTCCAGGGTGCTGGATGAGGAGCCTGAGGGAGGCAGGCGGCAGCTCTGGGCACCGTCCCCATGTGGTCCCCACACCCCCGAGCCACGTGTCAACGTGGAGGTCCAGCGGGGCTCTGCCAGCAAGACTTGCACAGAGTGTCGTGGGGCACGGAGTGTCATAAGCGCTCTTCGGAACGTGTGGAAACGGATTTGGCCACTGGGGTCAGCGGCATGTGGGAAACACTGGCCCTCGGCGGGAGGACCACGCCCGGGCGTGCGGGGCGGCGGCTCCCCGAGCGGTAGAAGCACCTTCTCCAGGGCTGGAGCCACTCAGACACCCCAGAAGAAGGGCAGGCGACTGTGGGATGCGCCCTCCTCGGTCCTTCGCCACGTGCTGTCCCCTGGGGACGTGAAGGGTCGCACCTGACTCCCGCCCGGGAGACCCTCCAGGAGCCGGCACGCGAGGCCTCGCCGCAGGAAGAGAGGTGGGGTGGCTCACAGACTCCCGCCCTGTCTGCACTTCTGTGACACGCGCCCTCAGCGTGCTCCCGGCCACTGCACTGTGAGTCCTCAACAGCTGTCACCTGCCTTTGAAAGGGCGTCACCAAAGCTCGGGAAGGAGCGGAGTCACATGAAGAGTGTGTGTCCGGGGCGCTCACGCAGCTGCAGCAGCCCCTTCCCCCGGAGGTGGCTGCCTGTTCTCCAGGGTCCCCTGTGGGACCGTGGGCTTCCGAGGGCGGCCACGTGCCATCTGCGCAGCCTGGAGCCACTTAACTTCTAGGGAAGTGAATAATTAATTAAACGAGCCGTTCTTGAGGCAGTAACGCATCCCCGGAGGGGACACTAACTGCACTGGCTTTACAACCTAACGGGTATGGGGGACCGTAGACCCCCGGCCAGGTCGCAGCGTGGGCTCCCTCCTGGGGCCGTGGACACCGTTCGCTCTGCTGCAGGGGCCTCACTGCATTACTCCGCTTTCCTCTTCCTGCTCGTGGACAGAACTGCAAGAGCAGAGTCCAGCGGCCGTTCCACACACTGGCTGCCCCTGCTTTTTTGCAGATTAAAGTTTGATTTAGCCTCTGGATATTTGTGTCAGAGGCCGCCGGTAACCAAGCCCCAGAGCCAAACACGTCCCCGTGGGATGTGTATCGAGCGATTGACAAGTTAAGACGGTGGGACATTTAACTCACTCACAAGCCAGTGCCTTGAGTCATCATGATTTGTCTAGAAAAATGTGGGAACACATCATTACATCGTCTCGACTAGCATTTTTGCCGTGAACCGTGTCTGATGACTTGCACCGTTGGCTGGAAGCTATGTCTGGAGCCGGGAATGGGTTCTGCCCCCAGCTGGTTGTGGCCCAGCCCAGGCCCTGCTCTTCGTGGCTCGTGACAAGAACCCGAGCCACAGCCCCACGCAGTTGGCGGGCGTGTCCTGGGGATCTGGCTCCTGCCCCGTCACCAGACACCATCCGCTGTGACCATAGGTTGACTTTAGCTTTGATTTAGTCTTAGGGCTAAATTGTGCTGATTTAATTTTTTTAATGTTTATTTTTGAGAGAAAGAGAGCATGAGTGTGAGCTGGGGAGGGGCAGAGAGAGAGGGAAACACAGAATCCGAAGCAGGTTCCAGGCTCTGAGCTGTCAGCACAGAGCCCGATGCGGGGCTGGAACCCACAAACTGTGAGATCATGACCTGAACCGAAGTGAGATGCTCGACTGACTGAGCCCCCCAGACGCCCCTGAATCGTGCTGTGTTCTCCCTGCTTTCACCATGTGTGCAGGAGGAAGTCCTGTCTGGCACCAAGGGAATGAACCCAGCTGGGCTCCGGAGGCCACAGCTGAGCTCAGGCGCCTGCGTCCAGGCTCCCGTGCTGTCCGGCTGAGCAGTCTCACCGGCCATCGCCACAGGGATGTGCCCTCCCCTGGCCCTTCCTCACCTGCCCAAACCAGGAGCAGTGGCCGCCCCTGCTGCATCTGGACTTGGTTTCCCCTGTGGGCCAACCCGGGCCAGGAGCTCGTCATCTGTGCTTCCTGTCTGAAGGCAGGTGACAGGCCACACCCTACAGTGTTTCAGGAGCCGCATGCAGACAGAGCTGCCTGGCGCTGGGCCGTGTGGCCTTTTGGGCCGGGAGATTCGTGGCTGGAAGAGAGCGAGCCCCGTGTGCCAGGGGCCTGCTGACCAGAGCGGGCGTTTTCTGTCTCGGTCCCGTTCGTCCTGCACCGAGAGCTTCCCGCGTCCCTGGAAGAGGAAATCGGTTTATCTCGAGGCCGGGGAAGCATGTGTCCGGCACCAGCGTGTGCGAAGCAGGGGGGACACTCCACGACAGGTGTCCCTGTGGGTCTTGCTGACGTGAGGGACGGCAGGATGGCCTCCTGCCACGTGTCCGCAGGCCACGGCCCCGCCCCCTGCGTCCTCACCTGGCCGGCCGAACCAGACGGGGCACGGGCGACAGCGGCGGCCTTTCCCCGGGAGGTGTCGGTGCGTTGGCAGAGTTCGCGGTGTGACCGGTGCCTTCAGCTGCCCCCGCCGCACGTGCTGTCGGGTCTCGGGAAACGCCCACGTCGGTCTCAGCACTGGCCTCCCTGCTCTCGTTTCTTCATGAAAGTAAATGCGAAAAAGAGTCTGGTCTTCCCTACGCTGTGATTAAACCTCTTTTTTCCCTCGTTTTGTAGGAGATATTTATCTCTTTTGCAAAGGAGCAGATTCTTCGATATTTCCCCGAGTGATAGAAGGCAAAGTCGACCAGATCCGGGCCAGAGTGGAGCACAACGCAGTGGTGAGACGGGTGTGGGCCACACGCTTGTCCCACGGGGAGGGCGGTCTGGCCACCGGCATCCTGTTTAGTCCCATAGAAGGCGTGTGCTACTTTACAGGGAGTAGAAACCCTCCGGTGCCACGTGGGCGGGACCGGGGGCTGGTGCCCGCCCTGCTTCCGCCCCCTCCCCGCCCCCTCCCCGACCCCCACCCCCCTCAGCAGGCTGAGGCTTGTTTCCATTGTGAGGTGGGGGCTGGCGGTGTTGGGGGGTCAGAGTTCAGCACGTCTGTGGTGACTGTTGGGATCCTGAGGATTTCTGGTGATTTGCGCTCACACTGTCCCTCGTGACTCCCCTGTTGGCTGTCCCGCCTCACGGAGGACCGCGGTGTGAGCACAGCACGTGCGGCCCTGACTCGGGACCCCCCCCGGCCCCCAGCTTGTTCCCACTGCTGCAATCCACAGAGCGTGACATGCAAGAATCGCTAAAGCACGGAGGTTTGGCCACAGATTGTGAGTCTTCAGCGTCACCTCCGCTGCAGAAGTAACATAAATGCGCCGCGGTGCTGACGCAAGTGTCCACGTTTACCGAACTCCGTGTCATAGCGCGCCCCCGGCTCCAGGTCCCCGTGCAGGTGCCTCACAGCACCCGCCAGCCTAGCAGGGCAGCCACGCCAGCTGGAGGGACGCCGGCAGTCTGCTGCGGGCCTGAGATGGCCGAGCCCTCGCTGGATGGAGAAGGTCACTGTCGCTCAGCTGCCGCCCAGAGGCCAAGCTCCTGCTTGTACTTCTGCGCTGAGGGCGCTCGCACACTGTTGTCGGCAGCCGACGCGTGGTGGCCGGGCACCACGAGGGGCAGCGCCATCAGCGAGTCACCCAGCGCTGTCTGAAGTGGCGGGAGGCCCTGTACCCGCGACAGACGGCCGGGACGCTGTCCGTCCCCCAAGTGCAGCCGTCAGACGGGACTGGGTGTGCGCGGACGGTTTTCCCTGCACCCAGGATGCTGAGACGGTGCTCCCGCCCACCTGGGGTCCTCCGTCCGAGACCCCGTTCTTTCAGGGGGACGGGGCCCCCAGGCCGGAACTCAGCGCGTTCCATCGAAATAGCAGCTACATGCACCTCAGAGACCCCGGCCTCAAGACGGCGGCTCCTCATGGGGGCATCACGGCGGTCCGGCTCCTCCCCGGAAGTGCCTGTGGGCGCGGTGCCCACGGCGTGGACTCCATGGTCCTTCCCTCGTAGCCTCTGGCGGTAAAGGCTGCGCCAGGCCTCCCGCGTCTCCTGATAGCCTTCAGATGGTGCCGGACCCCCCCCGGGGCGCGTCAGGACCGCACTGTCTGCCCCCGGCCGCCATCCCTGGCGGCGCGGCGGGCGCTGTGGGCACATCCTACCGAGTCCCCACTCCCCGCGCAGGCGGCTTCTCTCCCGTTTGTGGCTGTTGTGGGAACTGCTGTGCTGTGCCTTGGGGGGAGCGCGTGCTCCCTGTCGCTCAAGGCCGCGGCCCCCGTTGCGTGTTCTCTGCCTGCGTCTCCCCTTCCTCTGCTCAGGCTGCTGAGCTGCTCGGGTCTGTGGCTTTATGGTTTTCTTAGTCAAGTTGGGAAGTTCCCCAGCCGCTGCGTCCCCAGGGCCCCAGCACCCACGTGGCCGTGGCCGCTCCGGGCTTCCGGCCTCCTCTTCTTAAACCTCCATGTCTTTCATCTGGTTGTTCCGCCCCCGTCTTCGCGCCCACTCCCTGCTCGGGCAGGGTTTCGTCCGCCGTATTTCGCCCACGTCGGTGCCTTTGTTCTGTGTGTCTGTGCGTAACTTGGTGTCTGCTACACGTCACAGGGGCCGTCCGACGCGTTTCTCCTGGCTCTGACCTTGCTGCTGGGTCTGTCTCCGCCTCAGCGGGGTGTTTAGTGTCCTCGATGGGTAACGATCTCTGCCTCCTCGTGTGCTGCAGACCTTTGACGGGACCCGGCCCGAGGGCGCTGCCTTGTTGGGTGCGGGGTCGCCCTGGCTCCAGCCAGGCGCGGGTTTGTTCTGGGCGAGGTTTGCTCCGTTCAGATGGTGGCGTTAGGACGTGTCGGGTGGGTCCAGGGCACCGCTCCCCTGTCCAGAGGGGCCTTGTGGATTTGGGGTCTTGGGCCTGGTTCCTGGGACGGCTCCCTCGGCCTCCGACGGTTCCTGGCGCTGGGGGTCCCCTCACATGCTCGTGGGTCTGCTGCTTGCTCGAGGGGCTGCCGCGGTCTCTATGCCAGGACCTCCCCCGACCCCCGACTCCCCAGCCCTGAGCGGAGGCACCTGAGGGCCACTGCGTTTGTGACTCTATGTTGAAATCACTTAGAGTCCCGGGGGCTGTAGAGACAACGTGGAGGGTGCTCTGCGCCCTCCCCGGGGCCCCGTTTCCTCAGATCTTCCCGAAGTGGAGGGCAGTATTGGAGCCTGGGAACAGGCATTTATCCAGACCATTGGACGTCGTATCACTTGTGCCGCTTCCTGGCCCACCGGGTGGGGTGCAGAGCCACACCGCCCCTTCCCGGTCCCTTCCGGGCCCCGCCAACCTCGGTCGATCTGCCGTCTGCGGCTTTCACCATTCCGGAGAGTGATGTAAGCAGCGCAGTCCTGAGTGTGTCTTTCTGCTGAGTGTGTAGGCCCCTCGTCCCTGTGTGACCCGAGCAGTGTCCACGGTGCACGTGTACCGCCTTCTAGCCCTAACGTCGGAGGCCGTGAGGGTGGTGTTTCCTCCGTTCTGCTGAGAGGTGTGAATGTGTGTCACGTGATGGACACTCCCGTGCCGAATCCTTGCCTTGCGGGGATGGATCCACGTGGTTGGGCCACGCAGGCCTCTGGGTAGCTCTCGGATTCCTCTTGCTGGTACTTTGTTGAGTGCTTTTGCATCTGTATTCGTAAGACATGGTTCTGTAATTTTCTTGTAGTGGATTTGCCTGCCTTTGCTTGTACATCAGAGTGGTTTCATACAGTGTCCGGGGTTTTGGTAGTACTTAGCCGGAGGCCTCTAGAAAAGTGTTTCTACTCCCTGTCTCCACACGACCAATGCCGTATCTACTTGTAAAAATAAACATTTTATCCTGGAATCTTTCCGGCCTGCAATTCACACTCGCTGTTTGAAGAATTCCAGGGTTGGCAGGAAGGCCGACCCCCTTCGGCCGCCTTTGGGGGTCTGGGAGACGTGAGGCATTGCCCAGCAGAGCCCGGCAGCTTGCGCTCATATTCCAGAACGTCTTTTTTAAAAATCTTACAAACCAGGATTCTGCCAGAATTTAAACCGATTATGGGAGGACTTTGGCTCTTTTCCCAGGATTAGATGAGTTGGGGCTAAAAGATCAAGGGCAGACCCTCGTGAAGGTTCACTTCGTCTGGATGGGAAGGAAACCGTGATCGTTGGGATGGGTGTGGCCCTTCAGGCCCTGATGAGCCCCGCTTGCTGATGGATGGGTTCCGGGTGGTGACATCCGGAGTCATGGTCACAGTGAACCCACTGTTTCGGGGGCTTAGTTCTCTGCCCCGTGGACCCAGGAGGTATGGTAGATAACTGAGCCTTTGTCCAGTGGGCACTCAGTCTGTGTTCCAGGTTCCCCTGTGTAAAAACTGTTAGTTTAGAAAAATCACTTAATATTTACAATGAAGTTTCAAATTATGCTCTAAAAACAGTTTAACTCTTCTGTCAAAATAAAACACGGGCTTACCTTCCCAGGTGCAGACTGTATCATTCCCCTGCGTACCACCTTCAGATTTTATAATCTGTGACGATGTGTTTCACGGGGATGTAATTTAGCGGTACCTGACTGGTCCCTTTGAGGGCGGCTGATAGTTCTTCTCGTCGGAGGGAGGGGACACTGGGGGAGCTGCTGCGGGGGGCGTTTCCGAGGTAAAGGCTGCGCTGTATCCCACAGGAGGGACTCCGAACTCTGTGCGTTGCCTACAAAAGGCTCGTCCCCGAAGAATACGAGGGCGTCTGCACGCTGCTGCAGGCCGCGAAGGTGGCGCTTCAGGATCGGGACAAGAAGTTGGCGGAGGCCTATGAGCAAATAGAGAAGGACCTCATTCTGCTTGGCGCCACGGCCGTTGAGGACAGGTAGCGTTGGCGCTGCGACTTCAGGAGAAGGTGGCTGTGTGCTGCGAGGGCGGGGCCCGCGGGCGCTCGGGACAGGCCGCTGCACCTGACATTCCCACAGGGACGCGTGTCCGCATTGGGACTGGCAGGCCTTGGGTGGTGTCACTGGGAGGTCGTGACTGGACCATGTTGTGTTATGTGAATAAGGACCCTGAAATGCACACTTTGCCCCAGGGACGAGTTGGCATTTTCACATCCTGTAAGGGACAGTCAGGAATGAGGGTCATTTTTAAACTATTTAGTAGCATCAATCGGTAACTAATTCTTTTCCTAAATTTGTCACTAGTCCTTTCCAAGTTCAAGTGTCACATTTTAAAATATTACTGTTTATTTATTTTTGAGACAGAGAGCGACAGAGCGTGAGTGGGGGAGGGGCAGAAGGAGAGGGAGGGAGACACAGAATCTGAAGCAGCTCCAGGCTCCCAGCTGTCGGCACAGAGCCCGACGCGGGGCTCGAACTCATGAACTGTGAGGTCGTGACCTGAGCCGAAGTCAGACGCTCAACTGACTGAGCCCCCAGGCACCCCTCAGTGTCACATTTTAGATCTTAATGAAGTGTATTTGTTGTTTCTCATTGAAGAAATTTAAAAGGGAAGTAGAATATTGCTAAACCACTGCCACTAACAGGCAAAGTTGCCAACTGCAGATTTTCCCATACTCGGAAGAAGGGGCTTCTGGGCCACCGTCCTGTGACGAGGCTGAGGCGAGCTCAGGCCTCACGCGGCTGCTGCTGCTGTGACTCGAGAGAGTGGCATTTACAGGATGAGGCAGAAACTGAGGGCATTTCCTGGAAGTTTATGTCCCATAAAGTTTCAAAGTCTTTAAGGTGTAAATGGGCCCCAAATTCAGGTCCTTACTAGAAACCTACATTTCCCAGTGTGTGTATCACGCACGCGGTGACATCCTGGTCCTGACGGGGTTGGGGCCGAGCTTGGCTTTAATTTTGTGTCTGTAAGTCCTCCCCTGACTCCGGCCAGACCAGGGCCTCAGGCGCCAACACAGGACACGCAGCTCGTGCTCAGGACGGGGGTGCAGAGAGAGGAGGGTCTGCATGGGGGAGCCGCATCTACAGACCCTCCTGAGGGGCCAGGGAGCAGATCGACTCGGCAGGGAGTCAGACCTGGAAAACAGAGTAGATGCCCAGGGGCAGGTGGGCGCCAATGGCTTTGACGTGATGATACTGGGTTACAAACTACTTCCCTAGAACCCCTGACTGACCATCCTGGGTCTCAGTTTCCATTTTCAGAAAACCGAAGAAATTAGAGATGTTTCCTCCCATCTCTGGGATGCTGAGGTTGGAAGAAGTTCCCCCCCGGGGTAATCGGGGCACTCGGTTAGGGCCTGTCCCTCCTTCTCCTCCAGTCCCTGACAGGGTCACCGCACACACTTTACACGCCTCTCAAAAGCCCAGACTCTAAAATGCGGGAAGAATGGCAGGGCCCGAGGGAGGCAGATGTGGCTTTGAAACCAGGCGTCGAGGCCCAGAGGGACCCTGATGGATGTGGTCAGAGGCACACAGTCTTATACACGTTGCGAAAGCCCCGTGAGCTCTGGGTTTGCGCGTAGGACGTGGCTGATCACGCAGGGTCCCTCGCTGGCGCTCGCGGTACGCCACGTTGGTTAGAGGCTCCGGCCCGGGCACTGGCGGAATTCCACGTTCACGCCAAAGGAAAAGACCGGGACACTTACTGGCCACGCCTTTTCCTGACCCTGTTTTTCCCTGGTCAAGACTGTTGGCAGTTACGGTCCTTCTTATAATTGACTAAACCCCCTGCACGCGGGAGTCCCAGCTAGACAGGGCGCCGCCAGCTTCCCCGACGTGGGTTCCGCCCGACAGGCGCCCGATTGATGCGGCGTGTTTGTCTGTTGGGAGCTAGGGCGCGCTCTCCCGGGAAAGGTTCGCCGTCAGAAGACCCGCTCCAGGCCCCGCCTGGTCAGATCCCGAGCTGGCGGCACGGCGCTTCTCAGTTTTGGGGGGACAGAACAGCTTCACGGTAGCGGTCTGAGTGTCTGCCTGGATTTGCCCCTGTCCCCCGCACGGTCCGTGTGCGTCTTTACCCAGGCTCCAGGAGAAAGCCGCCGACACCATCGAGGCTCTGCAGAAGGCGGGGATCAAAGTCTGGGTCCTCACGGGGGACAAGATGGAGACGGCGGCCGCCACGTGCTACGCCTGCAAGCTGTTCAGGAGGCACACGCAGCTGCTCGAGCTCACCACCAAGAAACTCGAGGAGCAGAGTCTGCATGATGTCCTGTTCGAACTGAGCAAGACCGTCCTGCGCCACAGCGGGAGCCTGACCAGGGACGGCCTCTCAGGGTAGGCGGTGCCCCTCCCCCACCCCCTCCGCCTCAGGGCCCGGCCTCGGCGCTCTTGCCGCGTCAGCGTGGTCCCCGTGAACAGCGGGACGAGGCCAGAGCTAGGTCCGCATAGTAACTGGGATGTGTCTCCCTGCAGAAGAGGTGTGTCTGTGTCGTGTGTGTCCATGTGTATATCTATGAGTGTGTGTCAGTGTGTGTGAATATGTGTGGTGTATGTGTGTCTCTCTGTATCTGGGAGTGTCTATCATTATGAGTGTATGTGTCTGTGAGTGTGTGTGTGTGTGTCCGTGTGTGTGAATATGTGTGGGTCTCTTTCTGTGTGTCTGTATGTGTTTGTGGGTGTGTCTGTGAGTGTGATTATGGATGTACATGTGAGTGTGTCTCTGTGTCTGTGAGTGTGTGTGTGTGTGTGTGCATGTGTGTGTGTTCACTTTCAAACCGCAGCTCGAGGATGCAGAAGGGCCTGATTGTAAGCCCGGGGGGCGTGGAGGGGGGGATGGTGCCTGCACGTCGGGGACTGTGTCGTGGTTCCCCAGGCAGCTGCCGGAGTGAGGAGAGAAACATCATAATGCCGGCTTGTTTGTCTCTCAAGACACAACGGGACACGCCCAAGAGTGGTTTTGTCCTGGGATGTTCAGTTTATTCACGTCTTGCCCACGCTGTCCTTGCTGGCGTCAGATCTGTGATCTGCGGTCAGATGGCATCTGATTCCTGATAGGTTGTCGTTAACGTAATAAAGCTCTCTCGTCACGTGCAAATGTTTAACCGTTCAGGAGCAGAGCAAAGGCGATTCCCTCCACCTGGTCTGCGGGACCCGCTGGGGGACGGGGAACGTTCTCATAACGTGGACACCCAGCTGAGGGACTCATTCTGACGGTGATGGGATGGCCGTAGAGGTCCGCCACCATGGCCAGGGCTTCTGGGAGAAAGAGTGGCCCGCACTGGCCATGAGATGTGCGCTCCGTCTGTTGTGGAAAAGCGCTGGACCAGGCACGCGAACCCGCAGTTAGAACTCGGTGTTCGCTCTGCCTTGGGGCCCAGGAATGTTTCACTAAAACCCAACTTTAAAATGTGCTCGAGGGCGTCGTGTCCGGTACTCTAGAGCCTGTCGATAAAACCGGGTTACCGCTTTCTTAACCCCTTGATCACCAGTTTATAGCATCTGTAGATTTCCGGAAAATGGCGTGGTCTTGTAGAATCTGCAGACTTAGCTACTGAGTCACGTCCCTGGTTTGTGTGATTAAACAGACTTTCAGCGGACATGCAGGACTATGGTCTCATCATCGATGGAGCCGCGCTGTCCCTGATCATGAAGCCCAGGGAGGACGGGAGCTGTGGCAACTACCGGGAGCTCTTCCTCGAGATCTGCCGGAACTGCAGCGCCGTGCTCTGCTGCCGCATGGCGCCCCTGCAGAAGGCCCAGGTGCGGCCCCGCCAGCCACGGGGGGTCGGGGGGCAACACCGGGAGCCGCTGGTTCCCACCATCTCTGATTTGTTGGGGGTTTTTACTGATAAGAACAGATACTACACTTGATCTTGGTCAAAAGGCCGAGAAGCGATGTTGTTGGGGGTTTTTTAAAAAATTTTCTTTAATGTTTATTTTTGAGAGATAGAGAGCATGAGTGGGGGAGGGGCAGAGAGAGAGGAAGACCCAGAATCCGAAGCAGATCCAGGCCCCAAGCTGTCAGCACCAAGCCCGACGTGGGGCTCAAACCCACAGACCATGAGATCATGAGCTGAGCCAAAGTCGGACACTCAACCGACTGAGCCCCCCGGCGCCCCTCTAATTTGTTTTTAACTCCAGCGGGCACCAGCGTCCTAAAATAGAAGCACAAATGGTAGAACCCTGGCTCCTACTTCACTTGCTGTGGGAAGTGTGAGTGGACCGGAGGGCGGAAAGCAGACCAGTCTGACTTCTCTTGTGGAACAAAAGAGTGTCACAGACGCTACGTCATTTATGAGACTCTGTAGGAAGGACCCATCTTTACGCACCTGCCAGGTCACAGGTGCAGATACAGGCGACTCTGTCGACTGGGAAAGGTCACACGGAGGTCACAGAGATGCACCGGAATGCAGGGCCTTGGGCAGCTTGCCTGCAAGGGCGCATTTGGAAACTTAAGTCCACACGTGGCTTCCAGTCTGTTGGAGACACTCACCTGACATGCTTGTTTTCGGCATTTGGTAAAGCGTCACAGAGTCCTCCGTGAACGTGGGGCTCTCTCAGCTGTCCGTAAACCTGCAGCGGCTGTCACTTCATTGAGCCACGTTTTAGATCCACGAGACCAGTTTCTCTTCAACTGTTTGTGAAAGAAATCAACAACTTCTCAGAATGGCCCAGGGGTTAAACGACGGGCAGAAAAGGTGTTTCCAGTGTGTTCAGAATCCCACTGGCCTGTAGGGTGGGGGAGCTTCGGGAGGTGCACAGGCGGTCCCCGCCCGTGGGTGCCGCGGCACAGGCTGACCCCGGGGATGCAGCCACGGGCCTTGCAGGCAGACACCTGCGTGCCCCCTGACTCCTGTGTCCAACCTCGTGTCCTGGCGTCCAGAAGGGCAACACAAGGATCTTCGTGTTACGTGGTCTCTTTTTGTACGTTTTTCCCTGACTTCCGCCAGTGTTTCTGCAGATGAATGTTTCACTGTCCTGTCTTGAAACGGAAAGGAGTACATGCGTTGCTCCTCATGGAACGGCTTCTCTGAGACGTGTTAACGAAAGAAAAATTACAGAAAATGGACCACATGCTTGAAATTGTTAATTGCATTGAATTGTCAGATTGGATTTGCATGTGTGACAACGTTGACAATTAAAATAGCATTAGAAGCAGCTTATTTGTAAGAAATCGATGCTGGATACCAGAGAGCTTGAAACGGCCGTATGATCAACAGGATGTGACCTTCAGGTTTTTCCTACAAGTTTATTGCATCCCGTATGTTTAAATCTGCACATGTAGGAGGAACTGAGAACTACTGGGTTTACTTCCTGTTTCCATCTTCAGCCTTTTCCCCATTATTTCGTTGCAACCGCACTTCACCTGCCTTGTCTTTACTTAGTTCTGCCCAACACAAAAGGGATTCCATCCTCTGTGGAGAAAACGGACTGAGCTACTAAGTGCACTCAAACCAGATCGTCACTCCGCTTTCCTTTTCTAACTGTGCATCTGTGTTATTTCTGCTGAGTTAGTGAACAGCCTGCACACGCAGAAAACGGAGAAGATAAACTCTGCCTCTGCTTGTTTTCCAGATTGTCAAATTAATCAAACTTTCAAAAGAGCACCCTATCACTTTAGCCATCGGAGATGGTGCCAATGACGTCAGCATGATCCTAGAGGCCCACGTGGGCATAGGTGAGCCACCGCATCCCAGAGCCCCGCGTGCCTGGCCACAAAGTCTCCGCCGCCCGGCGAGGCCAGAGGGCAGAGGAGGGCTGGGGCTCAGGCACAGGGCATCCCCTGGCCTGCATTTGCTTGCACCTTGTCGCTCTGTGCTGTCCCCTGAAGCGGTGCTGAGACAGCATTTCCTCCCACAGGCGTCATTGGGAAGGAAGGCCGCCAGGCCGCGAGGAACAGTGACTACGCCGTCCCCAAGTTTAAGCACTTGAAGAAGATGCTCCTCGTTCATGGGCATTTTTATTACATCAGGATCTCTGAGCTAGTGCAGTACTTCTTCTACAAGGTAGGAAGGGCTCCCGTGCCGGGCCACACACGTGGGTCAGTGCGCGGCCGGCAGGTGCCACAGGGACTGCGGGGACAGTCAGACACAGAGGCGCTGACGCTGAGTCTGAGGGGGAAGCGGGCGCTGGACCGTGCGCACAGATCAAGTGTGGGACTGCGGGGATGGTCAGACATGGAGGCGCCGACCCTGAGTCTGAGGGGGAAGCGGGCGCTGGCCGGTGCGCACAGATTGAGCTGGGACCTCGGGGAAGACGTCCTTCCATGAGTCCTCCGTCTTGCACTTGGACTTGGCCCTGGTCCTCCTCACGTCCACGTTGCTTTCTCTTTCCTCTGCAACCAACTTCCCCTTGCGTTTCTTTCCCGGAATGACCAGAACGCGTGCTTTGTGCCGGGAAAGTGAGAGCAGGTTCAGGAGCTGTCACCCCTGCTGTGAGAGCACAGGGCGCTTTGGGTCACTGTCTGTGGGGCCGGCGCATTCCGTGGATGGCTTTGGGGGGGGGGCGGGGCTCTCGTGGCTGCCGCTGCACTAACCACGTGGCTTCTCTTTCAGAACGTCTGCTTCATTTTCCCTCAGTTTTTATACCAGTTCTTCTGTGGGTTTTCACAACAGGTGAGTCCTCCTGTCTGAGGACAGGCCTTACCTCCCTTCCCATGCGGGTGGCTGCAGGGGTGAGCAGACTGAGGGGGGAGCAGGCCGCAGGGAGAGCAGGCCGCAGACGGGAGCAGGCTGCAGAGGGGGAGCAGGCCGCAGGGAGAGCAGGCCGCAGACGGGAGCAGGCCGCGGGGGGGGGGGAGCAGGCCACAGCGGGGGGGAGCAGGCCGCAGGGAGGGAGCAGGCCACAGAGGGGAGCAGGCTGCAGGGAGGGAGCAGGCCGCAGGGGGGAGCAGGCTGCAGGGAGGGAGCAGGCCGCAGGGGAGCAGGTCAGCATGCGGCGCCCCGTGGCGGGTCAGGACCACGTGGCCCAGTGCTGCTGCAGGCCTGGCCGCGATGGCCCCGCCCGTGCCCCACAAGAGCCGTGGCGGACTTTCTGCCCTGACTGAGGATGGAGTCGGCATCTGAGACCCTGTCCCGCTGCCCCACCAGCGGCATCCGCGCCCTCAGGTGTGCTGGCCGGAGGCCGTCCTGACCCCTTTCCGTCGCTTCCCGTGTCCACCAGAGGGGCCAGGACGGGGAAGCTGGAAGCCTGAAGACGGCCGTCAACACTGCCAACTGTTACGCAACATCTTCTTGTCGCAGGCTCGCCGTGGCCGTGTGGGGCGGGTCACAGTCGGGCCTGGGTCGGCCGTGGTTTTCACAGGCAGTTGTCATCAGGAGGGACTGGAAAGTGTCCTGCTGTCTGTAGCTGCGAGAGCGTGGCTCTGTGTGCATTCTAGAACGCTCGAGCCTCTGGGTGTCCGCAAACTGAGAAAACAGGAGAAAAGTTTGTCGAGACGCCCAGGCCGCTGTTTTCAGTGTGACCTTGTCCTTCCGCAGACTTTGTACGACACTGCCTACCTGACCCTGTACAACATCAGCTTCACGTCCCTGCCGATCCTGCTGTACAGCCTCATGGAGCAGCACGTCAGCGTGGACACGCTCCGCAGAGAGCCTTCCCTGTACAGGTACGAGCACCGCGCTTCCGGCCCACGGGATCGCTGCCCCCCAGGAGGATTTGACCACTGGTGCCCTTGCTGCACCAGAGATCCTGCCTGGAGGAAGCATCCTCACTGACGTGAATATGCTTCAGGTTTAGGTAGAGGGTTCATGTTGCGTTTGAAATGTGTGTACTGAGTCCGTTTGTATCTCACCTGCTTCTCGGCAGTTCCAGAAGGAGCCAGGGTAAGACTTTCTTTGCCCTTGTGACTCCAGTGCACGTATAGCCTAAATTATCCTTTAAAGACCAAATACACCCTGGGGCCCGGGAGGCTCAGTCAGTTGAGCGTCCGACTTCGGCTCAGGTCATGATCTCGAGGTTCCGCGTCGGGCTCTGTGCTGACAGCGGAGCCTGGATTCTGCTTCGGAGTCTGTGTCTCCCTCTTTCTCTGTCCCTCCCCTGCTTGTACTCTGTGTCTCAAAAATAAACAAACATTAAAAAAATTTTTTTTAAACCCAAATATGTTCTGTTCAGTGAGATAAAAAGAAAAGTTAACAGATCTGATCTCAGAGCACTCTTTTTTGCTCAAACTATTTTTTAGCAATAAGGAAAAGATGTTTTTCTTCTTCTCTGGAGCCGTACTCCAAGGTTGCTGGCAGAGTCAGTGATCGTGTTCTTTGTGGCTTTTTACATGAAACTTCATCTATGAGATCATTTTAGCTCCACGTGTAGTTTTAAGAACTCCGAGTCTGTGAGCCTGTGTCCGCGGTCCCCGGCGGTGGGAGTCTGGCGGCCAGTCACAGAGGGCAGAAGCCCGGGCGCCGGCACCACCCAGCAGCGTTCCTGTGTGCTCTCGTGTGTGTGAGCACGTGCGTGAGCCCGCACAGTCAGGACTGCCCGCCAGCCTCTCAGCCTTCGTCACGGTGTCGGCCGCAGTGCACGATCTTGAAGCCTCAGAGCCCCAGGTCGCGGCTGTGGCCAAAAGCAAGCGTGGAGCTCACGTACCTGGGTCGCAGTGGAGGAGGGCGTTGGAGGGAACAGACGACGCGGAGTTCGTGTCCGGAGGGGCCTGCAGCCGGTCCCGCAGGACCGAACGGTGCAGGCGTCACGGCAGGGACGATGCCACAGACTCGAGGCCCACAGCCCGTGAGCGGGGACGCGTGGCCTTGTGTCCTGGGTGCCTCCCTTTCACGAGCAGAGCGTGGGCAGCTCTGCTCTCACACACATCAGCATCCAGCAGCAGAGGGGAAAGCGAACGTCACTCGCGTTGGGTCCCACGGGGACACTGTCTGGGCGGTCCCACCCCACCTGTGTGTCTGCTCCATTCACTGGGCCTTGATGCTGATTCCGGTACAGTCCGTAGTGGCCCCCAGCCCTCTCGGAACCAGGCGTGGCCTCGGGCGAGGGGACAAAGGACGTGCCGCAGGTGGCCGGTGGGCGTGAAGCATGTGACTCGGGACACACGCGGTGGTAGCAGCCGTGAGAGGCCCCTGGCCCCACCCAGAAGGCTGTGGGAGATCAGAGCGTGTGCCCAGCCCCCGTGCAGGCACAGAGGACGTCGGGCAGCGACAGGGAAAGACCCGCACGGGCAGGGCGGCCACAGCCGGACCCGATCCTGGGCACTGGGCCCGCGTCTCCATGACCCAGTTTCATAGCTTGGCTGAGCCAGCCGGCTGTGCAGCCTGGGCCTGTCCGGTGACATAGGGGGGCTTCCTGGACAGATGGTCACCACAGAGCCTGGGGCGGCCCGGCCGCTGTGAGTCTGGTTCTCAGGGAACGCGCTCTCCTGTTTTCTCACGCAGAGATATCGCCAAGAACGCCCTCCTCCGCTGGCGTGCGTTCATTTACTGGACCTTCCTGGGAGTGTTCGACGCTCTGGTATTTTTCTTTGGTGCTTACTTCATGTTTGAAAACACGACGGTGACCAGCAATGGGCAGGTGAGCACGGAGCCGCCTTGCTAGCCGCAGGGGACTGGCACACGGGCGCGGGTCAGTGTAGCTGGCGGGGCTCCCGGTGTCTGGGCTCTCAGCCACCAAATCCTCCGGGGCTCGCGGCGTGTTGGGCGGCGCTGAGCTCTGCGTAGCTCTGCCCTGTAGCGCCCCCCCCCCCCCGAGACTTAGACTGGGTGTAACCTGCACGCCCCGCTAGCTGTGGATCAGTCCCTAACTCGGTCATTCGGGCACCGCTGACTTCCTGCGGGGATTCATTCCGTATTTGAAAGCGTAGCGTGTTTTCCCACATGCGCACCGCAAGGACCCGACCCCTGGCGGTGAGGCGCTAGCCTTCTCTGTTGGCGCTCGGCTCAGGGTGTTCGCGTCATCTCTAGGGGTTGTTTTATTGGTGTCTCTGCTTTTTTTCTCTCTGCCACTCGCTCCCTCCCCACTCTCAGATAATGACCACCAGCACACACATGGTAAGAATCTGCGGGTTTGTCTGTCTGTTTTGGAGTGCACTAAAAATAAAATATTTCTCGAAATATTTTCAAACGTGACTTCCTCCTCTGTGTGCTGTGTTGGTAGAACGTGTCCGCTGCTGCTGGCCCCTGTCGGGCCAAAGCCGCATCAGGCCCGTGTGTCTGCATTTGGTCCTTTGTACGTGGTGTTTCTTCTGGGGTCCTGTGTCCCGGCTGCCGGCGGACTCGGTGACGCTCTTTAAGCGGGTTTCGTGCGTCAGAACCTCCCATGAGTGTGAGGTGCCATCCCAGGCCCGGGAAGCCCGGTGGGGATGCTGCTGTGAGTGCAGCAGACCCGGGCCCCGGGGACGCACGGGGGACACACCTCAGGGCCATCCCCTCCATAGCGCCTCCCAGGCCTGGCGGCCACACTGACCCCAGCACTGGTGTCCGGGGCAGACGCCCCTCAGCTGAGTACCCGCCTCTTCCCCGCCTTGTCTTCGGCTCGTTCTTTCAAGAGTGTACCCTCCCCCCACCCCCACACTGTGCCCACTGTCCGCTGGTGACTGATCTGTTCCTTTCTTTTCGTTATCTCTCGTCGTAACTCAGATCAACTTTTACTAAATCGATCTTGAAAAATTTTTAAATGTCTTATTTCGCTTTTCTGGAACTTCATGCTTTTCTAGAACTTGTTCTCTGTGTCAGTTGACTTGAATGACTCCTGGGCGTCACGGGGCCATAGCGTAGTTACGGAGCCGTGTTCCCTCCCTGGCGTCTCTGCAAGGCCTCCTCACGGGCTGGGCCCTAAGGAAGCGTCGTGCGCAGATCTTAGGAAGAGCTCAGAGATGCCAGGACCGAAGTGGCCTGTCGGTCCCGCGACCGGGCCCTCACCCAGTGCCGCTTGCGTTTGCTTGGCGTTAACAGGGAGGGAGCTGGAGAGCAGACAGACCAAGTCACACCGACGGGCACCCAGGGCGTTTGTGCAAGACGTGGGCGTTGTTTTGTTCCTGCTGCCCCCGAGCTGCCTTTGTCTCCGTGGGACTTAGAGTAACAGGGCCCTGCGGGCGGAGCAGTTTCAGGGAGCGGACACCCGCGAAAAGATATGTGCGGCCCGGGTGCCCCGGGGGTGTCGTGCCGGCTGACGGGCCTGGCCTGGAGCTGCAGGGTCCCTGGGCACTGTCTGCTCCTCACACTCAAATCCCTGAGCCTCGACGCTTCAAACCACACCTCCCTCCGCGGTGGCGTGTGCCGCCGTGGGTCAGTCCCGTGGTGCCTGTCTCCTCGGGGGCCTCGACCCTCCGCAGAGCCTGGAAGCTGACCTCCAGGCCAGTGCTTTCCTGCAACACCCCTGTGCCCCCACCCCCCCACCACCTGCACGCCTTCACTCAGCCGTTAGCCCCCAATCCTGCTCATCAGACTTGAAACAAGGACAGAAAGCACCGGGGCCCCCCCACTCCAGCCCAGCCCACGCCTTGCCCCTCGCTGGCTATGAGCTTCCGGGCCCACCCGCGGTGCCCTGGCTGGCCTGTCAAGACTGAGGCTCAACTACACGATGTACAAAAAGCTGCTCCGAAGTCTGGTGACAATGGGAACCGGCGCGCAGAGAGGGTGGTACCGGATGAGGTCTGTGACCTGAGCTGTGTGTTTGGTTTCTCGCCTGCGAGGTGAACTTGTGCAGTTCGGGAGCTCTGTGTAGACAGTGGGAGTGTAGACGGTGGGAGCCAAGACCAGAGCTGTGAGTGCTCCATGGGACAGTAGCCGCATCCTCGGTCTTGGGTGGGGACTCTGTGTGGGGCCCAGGGCGCACATCTGCATCCCGCATCGCGAGGAGGCCAGGGCCCCCGGGAGGCTGGGATGGCACCCGGCCACTGCACACAAGCGCAAGGCCAAGGCTAAACGCCTGGTGCTCCGTTCTGGACCCCCTCTGCCTCTGTGTCTCCAGATGAAGCCTTTCTCATTTGAGGTGGTTTTCTTAAATTCTGGTTTGCGTTGGCAGTGAGAGGGTTGGATCGCCCATAAAACTGAAGACGCCTCCACGGATAGCCTGGTTCTGAAGGGATTCAGATAAGCCTGCACAACCCTCGTGCAGCGAGGGCCGTGTCTGGTGACCATCGACACCCTTGACTCTTGGCGGCAGAGGCCTGGCGATGGTAACTCGCATCTCTGGCCACACGCCCTCCGTGGTCGGCAGCCCCGTCCACCGGCTGTCGGTAGGCGAGGGCCCCGCTTTACCGTCAGCATCACTCTGTGGGACGTTTGTAGGAGCATTTATGGAACGTTCTGAAGGATCACGTGTAGTACGGAGGGAACAATCATCAAAACTTTTTTTTAAGAAAGTTGATTCATGGAGCATTTTCTACACTGATCTGTGAGCCGGAATCATTTCCCCTTCTGGTCCCGCAAGCGAGAACACTGACTGGCAATTAACGCCTTCTTGTTGAGCCCTAGGCTGTTAACTCAGCGAGCATCGCACACGGGCCAGGAGCAGGGAGTCCGCGCGCAAAGGTCACGTGGACGGTGGTTTTATGACCGTGATCTTGAGAAAACAGTTCTGTTTGTTGTGGATATTTTTATGCGTTAAGAATTAAGTCGGTCCTGGTTGAAGGGCTTTTCTGAGCAGAACGTGGTCCGAGATGCTCCTCAGAGGCCAGCGGGCGCACGTGGGCCTGGGGGAGGCTCGGAGGCGCCCCCTGGAGATTCAGTGTCCTCCCAGTGGGGCTGGGGGGAGGGAGAGCGCTGTCAGGAAGTGAGGCCCAGGCTCCCTGCGGGGTGGGGGGCCGGCCGGGCACTGGGGAGACAAACCCCTGGACAGCATTTCATGGCGGGGGGGGGGAATCTTGTCCTTCCGCCTTTCCAGCCCCCCCCCCCCCGTCCATAGAAATGAGGCCAGAAGACTTCAGTAGTAGATGCTCTGTTAGCTGCTTGCCGGGGGCCCCCACCTGCACTGGGGAGGGACATTGGGACGGTGTCTACCTGTGAGGCCCAGGCCGCCTGCTGGGGGCACAGGGCCGGGGGGGCAGGCTGCCTGCTGGGGGCACAGGGCGGGGGGCAGGCCGTCTTCGTTGCCGGGGCTCTCAGCCAAAACTCCCTGTTCTGGAGTCAGATGTTGCGTGTTGCTGCTCTATGCCTGTAAAACTACAGCTGAGGCCCACGCGTTGTGCACGAGGGATCGGGAGCCCCGACGCGTCACCTGGTCTGCCGTGGCCATCGACGAGACCCCGTCCCTCCGCGGGGCAGGCTCACACTCGCGCAGCTGGCTGTTTGCTGACGCTTCTCAGAGAGCTGTCTGTGCTTCCTGCTGAGCGGGTCCCACCCGGGGTGGGGGGGGGCATGCATGGTTCCAGGCCACGGCCACCCTGCCACAGGCCACCCTCCCGTTCATCTGCAAATGTTGGCTTCCAGTAGAAAGCAGGCATGGAGGCGGCTGCCAAGCTGTGGCCCATCTCAGAGTTTAAAGTGTTGGCCTCCCCGGAAGCTAAGCGTGGACGAGGCCGCTCTCTCTGGTCAGAGTCTGGGCGCTATTGCCCTTGGGGCCGGGGGGTTCCTGGCCGTGGGGCCGCCCTGTGCAGTTAGTGCGCTGCCCCCACCCGGACGCTGGAGGCTCTGCAGCCCCCCCACCCCAGGTGGCAGTCAGCACCTCCAGGCAGGATCCCCGCCGAATCCTGCTCCCGCCACAGCGAGGGCCTGGAGCATGGGCGACGTGTTGGAGGCCCGTGGGAGGCCTGTGTCCCGCACAGAGTCCTGACGCGCCCACCCCACTGAACGTGGCGCAGGTGTAGCCTGCGTGTCCGGCCGCACCGTCGTGTGGGGGCCGTCTCTTAGATTGGAGAACAGAAAGCTCTTTGTACCCCAGCTTTTTAGTTCTTTGTGAAATAAAGCTGTTTCCTCTTAAAGGCGGGCTAGGGATGTTCTCTGAGCCGCGCAGCGCACAGGGTCCAGGAGGGGCAGTTCTCAGGCGCTGAGACACTCACTCCTGCACCAGAAAACCTCCACCGGGCTGATCTTTGTCTAAGAGGAGGCTCGGGCGGTCGGTAGTTCGTTTTCTGTGTCTGTGTCTGTGGCTGAGAAATGTGTCGTTTCCGTGATCTGACCCTGTGCTTCCCCACAGGCGGCTCGGCTGCGTGTCGCGGGGTCTCGGGGGGCGGGAAGCCGGGCCGGCGCTGCTCCCCAGGGCTGTGGGTGCGTCTCTGCCTCTTTGCCACACCGGCCGCCAGGGGCCTCTGTGCAGCCCTGTCTGTCTGTCTGCACTTGTCCCTCCCCTGCGACCTCCCCCCCGGGGAAACCCAGCCCCTGTGTATGACGTGGTTATCTCCCCAGCAAGCTGTTCTGCAGGTGTTTGAGTCGAGTGCGGGGAAGAACAGGCAGGTCTCCTGGGCTCCCCCTTGAGCGTGCAGAGGCCAGGGCTGGGTGGCCAGGGGGTGTCTTCCACGTGACAGACGGGAGACATGGCGCTGCGCACACTCGCCTCCCAGCTCCGGTGTTTCCTCGCCCTTAGTTTGCCACGCCGGGTCCCGTGTTTGTGGAGCACAGAGGGGGCCGTGCAGGAAGGGCTGTGAACCCCAAAGCGGCCGCCTAGCCCCGGGGTCCGGGTGAGCTGGGTGCCGTGTACTCCCCCTTCCTTGCCCAGAGTAACAAAGTCCCTGTGGCTTTGGGGTCCGGGTGTTGGCACGCAAGAGCAGCGAGATGTGTTGTCTCACACTCTTGAGTGTGCAAGGGGGCTGTGTGTGCTGACTAGACACTGTTTGGACTGTTGTCCCCACAGATATTTGGAAACTGGACCTTTGGGACGCTGGTGTTCACGGTGATGGTGTTTACGGTCACACTCAAGGTGAGCTCTCGCCCGTGACATGCCTTCTTCAGCCACAGCCACCCTGCTAGAACACGCCCCCCCCCCCCCCCCCCCCCCCGCCACCGCCTGTGGTGACCCGCACCCAGGCCGGGGGCACCCGTGCACACAGCTCAGGCCAGGGTAAGGCGAGGCATGCACACAGCCCAGGCCAGGGCAGGGGGCAGGGTGCACACAGCCCAGGCGAGCTCTTGGGCTGCCCAGGGCTTATTGTCCGTCATTTAAATAAGTCAGTGCACAACAGCACACAGGCCCCCCAGCATGCAAGCTTCCAGAATTCCACAGGAGGTAAATGAGGGAATGAGCCTTTTTTTAATAAAAGGAGTCAGATTAGAATTCTTTTCAGTGACAAGCAGCGCCACCCCTGCTATAATTATAATGTATTTTAAAACAAATTAATGTGTTGTAGGGGCGCTTGGGGGGCTCAGTCGGTTAAGCCTCCAGATTCGGCTCGGGTCATAATCTCACAGTTCATGGGATCGAGCCCCATGTCAGGCTCTGCGCTGATGGTGTGGAGCATGCTTGGCATTCTCTTTCTCTGTCTCTCTGCTCCTTCCTGGCTTGTGCTCTATTTCAAAGATAAATGCTTAAAAAAAAGATGATAAAACAAATTGTGTTGTAGAAAACTCAGCTCTTTTTAAAGTCAAGCCATATTCTTTTTTCAAGCTTATTTATTTTGAGAGAGCGAGCAAGCAAATGTGTGTGTGTGCGCGCGCACGCGCGCTCGTGAGCAGGAGTGGGGCAGAGAGAGGGAGAGAGCGAATCCCACGCAGACTCCAGGCTGTCAGCACAGAGCCCGTCGTGGGGCTCGATCCCACAAACCGTGAGATCATGGCCTGAGCCGAAATCAAGAGTCGGACACCTGACGGGCAGAGCCACCAGGTGCCAGATTCAGTACACGGTACCGTTCTGAACGACCTCTCGCCATCTGCCCGAGTCTTGGGGTGGCACTCAGCCCACCGGTGGGCCCCTTCGTAGGGACGACACCACGGTGATTGCAGCCGGGGCCTCCCCGTTTGAGAGACACTCGGGCAGGGGCCACGGGATGTGGACGGCAGTCACCTTCTTCCTCGAAGCCCAAGGTTCTGTTTTCTTCATGCAGTTTTATATGGGCATTTTGGCTAAAATGAAGTTGGTGGCATTTTCTGTGTCTTCCTCATTATTTTCCGGCCCGCGGTCCCAGCCGCCCGGCCCCCTCCAGCGTGGCCAGGCCTGACTGACGGCTGCTCTCTCTCCTCCAGCTGGCACTGGACACGCACTACTGGACTTGGATAAACCACTTTGTCCTCTGGGGCTCGCTGCTGTTCTACGTCGTCTTCTCCCTCCTCTGGGGAGGGATTATCTGGTACGAGCTGGGCGAACGGTCCGCATCCTGCACCCACTCCCTTCTAGGGCTCGGATGTGTTTTCTCCACACCGTTCCTGGGGCGAGGCATGGTGCGGGGGCCGCAGGGGGAGCGAGGCCGAGTGCCCCCCCCGTCTCTGGTCCATGTTCTCTGTGGGGAGATGCGAGGAGTCTTCCTGATCAGGCCAGGACGAGCAAGATCGGGTGCTGGGCAGGGGACCTGGTCCAGGCTTCAGGTCAGGCCAGTGTTCTCAGAAGCCCCTGCTGGAATGGGAGCCAGGGAGGAGGCCACCCTCCTCGCCATGGTCACGCATACTCAGGGCTTCCTGGAATGGGGCGCAGGGTGCGCGTCGACTGGCCTGGCTCGTTCAGCCTCCCCTGAGCCAGCAGCGACAGCCAGCGGGGCTGCCCGGGGTCCACGCCCAGCACGGGAGCACAGAGAGCCCCACTCTCACAGAAAGGTCGCCGTGGCTGCCGTGCTGGAAACGGGCCTGTGAGCCGAACGTGAGCAGGGCCGGGAGTCCGCAGGGAGGCCGGCAGCTGTGACGCTGGAACCAGCGCACAGGCGGGGCAGTCCCACCTGCTCACCTGTGCCGCGGTCCCTGCTCCCATCACAGCACATACCTGAGTGCCCCCACCTCCTGTGAGCCAGAGCATTTCCTGAGCGCGGGTGGGACAAGGGAGGTGCAGGGGGCCGTTACCCGGGGATGCCTTCCATCCCCTCCTCTCCGCAGTTGGTTCTGAGCACAGCTCTGGGTGATGCAGGTGGCCCCCAGGGGCGATGCCCCCCACCTCCCCTGCTCCTGCTTCTCTGCACATTGCTGGCCTCTAGTGGCCAGAGCTGTGCACTGCATGTTCTTGGGGACCCGCAAGGGCTTCTGGTGGTTTCCAGCCCGCCTGCCCCTGTCTCACATCCGCGCTGGTCCACGTTGGATCCTGAGAGCCGGTCTGCCTGGCCCGAGGGCCTTGGGCATAAGAACGGTGGAACCCAGTGAGGGTCACAGCCGCGTTCTTTCTTCCAGCGGGCACTAGGTACACACTGCTGGACTCGGACAAACCACTTTGTCATCTGGGCTCACTGCTCTTCTGCATCGTCTTCTCCCTCCTCTGGGACGACTGCACTGTTGGTTTTTTCCAGGTTCTCTCGTGGAGCCCAATGCAGATGTTTTCTCTAGAGTTGCCTGGGAAGGAGACCATTTCCTGCTATTTTCATAGACAAAATGCCAGTTTTTTTCACAGTGTAAGCCTTGGGTAGCTAACTGGCCCTGCTGACCAGACCCATGCTTGCCTTCTGCCTGTTCAAAGATTTTTTTTAATGTTTTATTTTTGAGAGAGAGTGTGAGTGGTGGAGGGTCAGAGAGAAAGGGAGACACAGAATCCGAAGCAGCTCCAAGCTCCAAGATGTCAGCACAGAGCCCCATGCGGGGCTCAAACTCACAAACCATGAGATCGTAACCTGAGCTGAAGTCTGATGCCCAACCAGGGGCCCCACCTTCTGCGTGTTAATAGCCATTGCTCAGGTTAGGATTGGAAGATACAAAAACAAAAAGCAGAACAGAAAAACCACCTATTTTGATTTTTAAAAAATTTTTTAAATGTTTTATTTATTTCTGAGAGAGAGAAAGAGAGACGGCGTCAGCAGGGGAGGGGCAGAGAGAGAGGGAGACACAGAATCCGAAGCAGCTCCAGGCTCCACGCTGTCAGCACAGAGCCCGACGCGGGGCTCGAACCCACGAACCGTGAGATCATGACCTGAGCCGAGGTCGGACGCTTAACCGACTGAGCTGCCCAGGCGCCCCTGTTTTGATTTTTTTAATATTGTTTTTCTGTCCTGACCCAGCTGCAGGTCCCCCTCCCCTGTGGGAGGACCCCTGACTCCCCAGAGCCCTGCCGCCTCCCCATTCCTTACAGCCGGCCGCTAGTGAGCAGTCAGCGGCACACAGGCGGGGTCTTGCCGGGAGTGTGCGGCGGCAGCGCGAGCTCCGGGAACAAGCGGGCCGCTCCTGCGGGCAGAGCAGACAGGCGGGGTGCCCGGGCCCCCCGCGCCGGCGCTCTGACCCGCCCGTCCACGGTCTCCTTCCGTCTGGCTCTGCAGGCCGTTCCTCAGTTACCAGAGGATGTACTTCGTGTTCATCCAGATGTTGTCCAGCGGCCCTGCCTGGCTGGTCATCATCCTGCTCATCACCGTCAGCCTCCTGCCCGACGTTCTCAAGAAGGTGCTGTGCAGGCAGCTGTGGCCCAGCGCCACCGAGAGAGCCCAGGTAGCGCTGGGGCGGCGGGGCGGCGGGGCGGGGCGGGGCTCCGCGGGGCGGGGCGGGGCTCAGCAGGGCTCCGCTGAGTGGGGCGGGGCTCGGGGGCGGGGCGGGGCTCCGCTGGGTGGGGCGGGGCTCCGGGGGCGGGGCGGGGCTCAGCAGGGCTCCGCTGAGTGGGGCGGGGCTCCGGGGGCGGGGCTCCGGGGGCGGGGCGGGGCGCCTCAGGGCTCCCCTGGGTGCGACAGGGCACGGCTGGGTGCTGTGCAGCGTGGCGGCCGGCCCGCAGGTGTCCAGCCTGAAGCGGGCCCCGTGATCACTGTAAGGAGAGCGGGAAAGGTTTGTGTTTGGAAATGGGATCGGTCCAAGTGTTCCTGATGAATTTCATGACGCCATATAGGACTTTAACACATCGAGGCTGATGAGATTCAAGAGGACCCATGTTTAGACCTAAACAGCTGCTCAGCTGAAATAGAAAATGAGAGAGAAGGATTAAGCCAACTCAAATGACAAATTCTTTGGAAATCCAAAAAAGTATTTTTTAATTATTACTTGGGAGATAAAACTGCGTTAGAGATAGTGAATGTGGCCCAAAACGTTAGCATTTATACTGGGAAGTTCTGATGATTTCTAGGATCACTTAGTTTCCTCAATTTCAAATTGAGGCCAGGCTGAAATGTGGGTTCAGGAAAGTGCGGTGTGCAGAATGCCCAGACTGGGGGAGCACGCCAGCAGGTGTCGCTGCGAGCTTCCCCAACCACTCTGGTCTGCTCAGAGTTCTCAGGGAGGGCACGCCCCCGCCCCCCATCCCTGCAGCCCGGGGGGGGGGGGGCCACGCCCCCGTCCCCCCACACTTGCAGCCCCGGGGGGCCACGCCCCCGTCCCCCCACCCCTGCAGCCTCGAGCAGGGCACGCCCCCGTCCCCCCACCCTGTCATCCGCCCACGGGGGTGCAGAGCCCCCGTAAGGAGCAGAGAGGGGCCTGCTGGTTGCGCAGAAGCCACAGCAGGCTGTCCCTGCAGGGTTCCCGTCTTGCCTGCGAGCACAAGTGGTTGTGCAGGGGCGGGGGACGGGCAGTTAGGGCGATTCGCACACTGGAGGACCCGAAGGAAGGCATCTGAAAGTCAGCCTCCAGGTGCCGCTGGCCGCCTCCGGGGTGGGAGCCTCCCCGGACCAGCAGTTGGGCAGACCTGTCGCTCGGGGAGCTTTCTTGGGAAGAAGCCTTGTGCCGATTTAAGGTGTTGAGCCCAGGCCCCCCATTCCTAGTGGCTCCCTCCTTTCTGGGTGTTTGTAAAGTGGGCGCTGGCGGCACTCGGGAGGAGGGAGTGACCGTGAAGGACTTCACCCTGAGCTCTGTGGCCAGGCCGCCCTTAACCGCGAGAGGATGGCGGGGGGGAGGGAGGTTTCTGCTGCTGGCTCTGTTCCCAGCGGGGACGCGTTTGCTGTTTGCTTAACGCAGGGGGTGCAGGCGGGAGGTGGCTGATTAACCGGGCTCAACCGCCTTAACTTGTTTCTCTTTTCCCTTCCTCCTTCCGTGCCTCCAACCTCTCTGCCTCAATAACGCTCCCACCCTGTCTCGCGATGCGCATGGCCCCTCGGCCCCTGTGGGACTGCAGACTAAGAACCAGTGCCTTTCTGTCGAGCAGTCCACCATCTTTATGCTCTCTCAGACCTCCAGCAGTCTGAGTTTCTAACGGAACAAGGTGATGCTTTTCTGTCGTTCGGCATGGTGGGGTTGCAGTCGTCCTGAGAGCCACACACGCCCCCTCCGGGAGTGTCTGCTCCCCTGTCGCGAGGCCCTGGGGTGACCTGTGTCTTGAGGTGCAGAGCGGGCCATGTTCTCTCCATGCCAGGAACTTACCCATGTGTCTCTCTGGGTGTCCATTCGAAGTACCAGGTCCCCCGCCAGGGTGAGGCCGCGTCCTCACCACGGGCGTCAGGCAGGACTGGCTCCCAAGCCCCAGGAGCCCGGGAGGGCACAGTCCCCTGAGCGCCACCCTGCTCTCCACAGCCCATGGCGGATGGAGGGCCAGGCCTTCTCACTCACACACACTCCCCTGTGTGGACCCGTTCTGCAGACAGAAAAACTGAGGCCACCATGTTAGAGTGTACTCAAGACCCACAGAGTGTTGTGGAAAAGGCCAGACTCGGGCTGAGCCACTCAGACTGTGGACAAAGCCAGGAGGTGTGTTTGGGTCAAGTGTTTTTCCAAATTGCCATTTAGCTTAGTTTATTTTTTTTTTTTAAACTTATTTTTAAAAGCTTGATTATTCTTAGACAAAGCCTTCTACCAACCTGTCAACGGCGGTAGGCTGCTTAGGCGGGAGTTCTCTGTGGCCGACCTCCAGGGCCACAGCCTGTCCGCAAGGGGCCACGGTTTCAGGGCCGAAGCGTTGTCCAGAGACGGCTTTCGGTCTGGTTTTCAGCCGTTTATTTGTGTGGCTGAAAACCGCATTGACTGTGCCTCAATCCGTGATGCTATGTCTCCATTTCCGCAGGCAGTGTATTTCATAGGAAAACACCTTTTAATGATGTCCAATTCTATACAATTTAAACACTTTTTAAACTCACAGCATGGCACATTTTTAAAATTTTAGTAATTATCAACAATCCAAATTTTTCTTCTCTAGTGCCATCAGAATTCGCTAGAACAAATTATGTAATTTCATCTCACTGTTGACGTACTTGAAAACGTTTAGAATGCAGTTATTAGGAACATTGCAAGTCACAGGATGTGCTTACAAAATTGACTAAATCCTGCCAAGTCTGGGCTAAAAATCTGTACTTTGACCATTGATGTGGTTTGTCAAGCGGGCCTCGAGCCACCCGGGCAGTGTCTTCGGCCACACAGGGTGGCCCGCGGGTGCAGCCACACCTGCACGGGGCGCCTGGCTGGCACACAGGTGCCCGTGCCTGTGCTTCTGGGAGGCCACCTGACGCCTGCAAAACTTTGGAGGAAGAGGCCCTGGACCCCCTCGTTCCAGATGGACACTGTTCCTTCCATCTATTCTGATACACAGAGAAACACCATAGGGGCCGGGTCTGCAGTGTAGACGGACGTACCCCGCATATACATTTCTCTCCATATTCGGCTTATTCTCTGTACGATTCCACCCATGCAAAGGGCAACCACCCCACCCTTCCTCCCCAGAAGACCTTGTACTTCCTGTCCTCACGTCTCAGACCTGTACCTGTCCACCTCTTATGGTTCTCTTCTCCTGGCCACTGAGAGACTAACGCGGTTTGACTAGAAAGCCGGCGTCGGGAGGCCTGGCCGTGACGACCTGCGGTGCCGCCACACCGGGACCCTTCAGGGGTCCAGCCTCAGCCCGGGACTCTTCTGTGTGCCCGGAGCTGGGGCCGAGGGGCAGGGGATGGGGGGCTCAGTGCCTCCCCTTCGGAGCGAGAGTGGCCAGTCTGGCCCTTCCGGCTGGGGCTCCCCCACGGGGCCTCGCCGCCCCGGCCCGCGGGCTCTGTCTCGTGAAGGGCATCATTAGGAAGACGCGCTCCTTCCCCGACGGCACTCACGTCGAGAGCACATGCCCCCCCCCCCGCGGCCCCCACCCGCACAGACTCTCGCAGCCAACGACTCGCCCTTTGTGCACAGAGGGGCCGGTGCCAGCACGGTGTCCGCCGGCAGAACAGACCCCACGTGGGCCACCAGGCCGGACTGTGCTCAAAGGCGGGAGGCGCTTTGGGGCGGGTGCAGCCCCTCAGTGTGTCTCCTCGCCTTGCAGCAGAGCATGAAACGCAAAGCACCGGTCACTGCCGCGCCCAGCATGGACCGGCCACTCCTGAAGGACCTCTTACCGCGGCCGAGGCGCCACTAACCAAGGATAGGTAACAGCGTCCGCCATGCCGCCCGGCGCCTCCCGGGCGTGCCGTGGGCCTTCCAGACTGGGTTTCCTCCAAAGTTTTGCTGTGCTGTGCCATTTTTTATAACAAAGATTCATGATGAAAAAAAAAAACCCGCTTTTTATGCACACGTGTGTGTTTCTGTCCCAGGTAAGTGACCTGCCTGAGAGTGGCTGGGCTGCACATGGCCGTGCACTGTGCCCACACACATGTGCACGTGGCCCACGTTGCTCCTCGTGCATTTATGAGCTGCCACCTCCCACCCCCACCCCCCGTGTGCTCAGAGCTCATTTTGCCAGAACAAAGCTCATTCCACGGCCTTGGTTGTGGAAACAGCTTCACCTGAAAGGTCTGTCAGGAGAGACCGTGATTGACAACAAAGGGGAATGTTCCATGATTTGCACTGAAAGCCGGCCCAGACAGGTGTCAGGCAGGCCTTCTGCTGTCCGTGAGCTGCCACGCGGAGCCGCGTCTGCCCCCTAAAAGGCATAGCCACGCAGCCGCGTGCACAGAGCACTCCGAGTTAGGTTTTTGAGGTGTGGCAGCCACATCTGCCTGGGGATGGTTTTCCTTTAAGACCGGTTTCTCCTGCACCACTTCCCCTCTGCCCACTGCCCAGTAAGCCTCAGGACGTCTAGGCCAGGTCGCAGACTCCTGTGGGCTGTCAGAATCTGCACAGACCGTGTTTGCGTGCTTGGAGGTGATCCTGGACCCCGATCTCAGTCCCCGGGGCCTCTGGAAGAGGCTTTGCACGTTGACGTACATCGTCTGTACCGGATGGTGGAGCCAAGCAGGGGAGCCGTTCGTAGCCAGAACACTGTCACCACGCTGGCTCAGTGCCCTAGTTCAGATGGGCCGCACACACCCACCCGTGTCTGGAGCGGGAGCCCCCACAGGCAGCATCAGCGCAGGCTGGGCGGGGTTCTCCTGGGGGGTCCTGGGGCTGACGCTGTCCGTTCTCTTCTCCTACAGAGCACACGCGTGCGCGGCCACCGCCGCCTCCTGGAACTCACCCTCCTGGCCCGTCCGCAGAGCCCCAGCCCCAGGGCCGCGCGGCTAGGCCCGCACGCAAAACAGGCGCTGCCGCCATAGCCTCCCCTCTCTGGTCTCCTGCACAGCCATCCTGGCCCTGCGCCCTGTGGGGGGACCACTGGCAGACAGGCCACCAGTCCAGACCTCTGAGAGCCACGTGTGTGAGCCTCTCCCCACCCCTAAAGGAGACGCCGGGGCAGCAGGACTCGCGTGGACGTGGCCAGCAGTCGTCACCTCTTGTGGCACTAGTGGCCTCACGCTGCCTCCGTAGGGCATTCAGTTGTGCTGCGAAGAAGGGCGCGCGGGGCCTGCCGTGTCCCCACCGCACGGGCCTCCAGCCTCAGGCACCCCCGGAGGAGGACGCCCTCGAGGAGACGCACCGCGGGGGTGGGGCGGGACAGCCCCGCCACCGCCGTGCTGAGCACAGGGGCCTGGCCTTGCCTCTGTGCCTCCTAGTCCAGAACACTCCGGTCCTCGCACTTCTGGAACCGCACCAGCCCCTCGAGCCACGTGCGCCCACAGCCTGTCAGCGTCGTGGGCTGTGCCCGGATTCTGTGCGAACCCACCCCACAGTGGGGCTGGCTTCCAGGCTCCTGTCTGGTTTGGAGTGCGTTTCCTGAGGGGCTGCTGGCGTCCCCGGTGTGTTCCAGGGTGCCCGAGTCCCTCCTCTCCCCTGGCTGCCCCTGCAGAAAGCCGAGTGTCGTGTGTGCAGGGTACCACGGAAGCCTTCCCAGTACAAGCTCTGAGACGTTTCTCCTCACGCCCCCGGGGACAGAGCGACCCGCGCTCTCTCGGGAGAGGCGACCCCACCTGTTCCAGGGACAGAGTGGTCAGCTGCCCAGGGCACACCCCAGGCTGTGACGGCCAGACCATTCCGTGTCCTCACTCACACACGCCCTCCAGGGGCCGCGTCCATCTTCCAAAACCCCTTTCTGGCCAACACCACAGGCCTGACACAGAGACGGCCTCTGAATCCAGAAAAGCAATATCGCCATCCCGGACGGCCGCCCGCGCCGGAGACCGCGACCGAGCGTCGTGATTTCTGTCAGACGCCCGCTTGGCCGGCGTCCCCGCTGCCCGGGCCGCAGTGGGGCGGGGGCCCTCAGAAGGCTGCTGCGCTGACGGCCCTGTCACTTCCCGGCACCGGTATCTGTTTCTAGAAATAACCTCTTCGACATAGCCTTAACGGTCCGCAAAGAAGACTGAGATTTCAGTCTGAGATTCACGTTGTTGAAATTGATGCCTCTTCGAAGAGCACCACCCAGAAGCTGAAGTACAAGCAGGCGCCTTGCCCATGGCGGTCCCCGTGCTGTGGGACCCGGGACGTGGCGCGTGAGCTCTGCGTCTCCTTCGGAAATGCCCGACGTCAGGTGTTTCTGGAAGTTGCGATTTCATAATTTGACCGTATAATGTTTCGCCTATAAAATATTCATTTGAACTAGGGGATTAATTCAGTGCGAACGCATGGTGGTTGGGACAAGTTCAGGTGACGGGGAAACACCATACCAAAGACGAGGAGAAAGGACAGAGAGCAAGAGAGGGTCCCCGCCCCCAGGTCCCCGCCCCGCCCTCCATTCAGGCCTCGCTCGCCTCTGGCTCGGTCACGCCCCCCCCCCCGCCACGCCTCCCGTGACGCCCTTCGCGCCCCGTCACGCCCTCCGCTCCCGCCGGCTCCCAGGTCAGCCCCCCCTCCGGTCACGCCCTCCAGCCCCTCCCCCGCCGGGCCCCACGCGCTGTGCGTGGTGGCGCCCGGCCGTCCGCTGCGCGCTGGGCCCTGCGAACGGTGGTGTGTGCGTTTTTACAGCCGTTTTTAAGAACCTACTACGGGTACCGGCGTGATGCCTGTAGGAGGACAGATTCTCTGTGTTCAGTTGACAGATTCTTTGTAATGTATTTTTTTAGAAATCTTAAAATTGCCTTTGCACTGAAGTATTTTCATAGCTGTTTATATCTCTTTTATTCATTTATTTGTTAACGTACCACACCTAATTCTTAAAGTATGTTTTTAAAGCTTTTATTTTTTAAGTTGGTGAACTTCTGGCCACTTTACGTTTAAATTCTGGCGAGAGCTTCGGCTGAATGTCTCAGTACCGTGAGCGTGAACTTTGAGGTTTGATTCTCCTCACGCCCGTCTGTTGTGGGCACTGCCGGCGGCGGGCGTAGTTGAAGGCGTGTTTAGAGCACAACGTTTTGCTTACTTCCTCTTCACAGTCGACTGTGATTATCGTCTGCTTCTTGTTTCGTGTTTGATTTCCATCCTTCGGCCTTAAAATAGAAGCTTCTCGATGGATGGTTCAGTGTCCTCTTTCCACCCTTACTGAGACGGTTACCGTTTGCCTCTGACGATGCAGGTCTCGTGAGGAAAGCCCCGAACCCCCACATGCTCCGAAATGTCTTCTCCAAAATTGTGAGGGAAATGCCAGGTGACTGTGCCTGATCATAGGAAACCGACGAGGGGCGGGAGTGGGGCCTCCGGAGGGAGGGAGGCCCCTGAAGTGAGGGGGGGGGGCGTGCGCTCTTTCACCAACAGTTAGTGTTTACTCGCCTTAAACCGACCTTAAAGCAAGACATGTCAACGTCTAGCGTTTTTCCTAGTTTTGAAGACCTTGCTCAGGACTGCACGTGCGAGGGAGTTACTAATTCAGAATTCCCCACGCTGGCCCCGACACCGGGTTCGGGACCGCACACCCTCCCGGGAGCCGGTCACCCCCGCTCCCCGGCGGTCCGCTCCGCGTCTCCTCAGGGCCGCGCGCCCCTGGGCCCTGCGCGTCCTGCCTCCCTCCCAAGGGGACCCGGCCCGAAGCTGCGGGGAGACCGGCGGCTTGGACCTGGGGCCCTGCGCCCTGGCTGGACGCCCAGTGCCTCCCTGACAAGCCCCTCCCGCTGACGGGGAGCCCCCCCCCCCCAGCTGCCGGCCTGTGGCTGCGCCCCCAGGACAGGGGCAGAGAGGCCCCTCTTCCCGGCCCGGGGGGGGGGGGGGGGGGGGGGGGG